TTAAGATTAATGTTAGATTTAAATACTTTCTAGTTCAGTCTATTTGTAATTTTAGTTCTTTATTGATCAAAGTCAAGAGATGCGTGTAGCGTTGATAAGGATCGTTTCGAATTTTCTCTGTGTATGAATTAGAACCTTGAGACTGTCAGCTGTACTGATGTGTAGTTTAGGTTTATTTTTGGTATCTACGTTGTGTTAAAATGTCACGTCACAGAGGGATTTTTCTCAAATTGTTTAACCCTCTGTACAGTCACCTGATCTAACTTTAAAACGTATTTTTATAATATTTTGAATTAATTGTGTAACTGGTGACTGTTTGTTTATAAGCATTACAATGCACTTTCATCGACGATTCCGAGAAATAAACTTCAGTTAATTAAAAATATATTTTCTTTATTCTTTGGATATTTACAGCCACCGTAGAGGACAGACCAAATACTGCCCACGAGTAGAGCAAATCCAAATACGGAGTAAAGAATTTACAAAGCGAGTGATTCCCCAAATTAATATATATATAACAAGTTCACGTATAACCCCAAAAGAACAACGTGACAATAGCCTATGCACAGAACACTGAACATATATACCTTAGAAAACAGGAAATAGCTAACAAGATTTGTATCCAGAAGCCGCCGGAAGTCATCTGCTGTGAAGTCGTCTATCGATGTCTTAGGTGGGTCTGAAAATGAAAGAAAAAAAAATGAAATACTGCACTCATCGATTTTGCCCTGGATTACTAGAAATTTCATGTTCTCTTATAAAAAATTAGTCTTCACATAGACAGTTGTTTTTTCTGCATCCCATTTTCCCTAATTTTGCTGCATTCTATTTTCAATTGAGAAAAAGCTGAAAGATATATATCATATCTATATCGTATGTACGTATGACTTAAGAATAAGGAATTATGTTAGGGGCACACTTACGTTGTCCTGCATTGTTTATCAGGCAGTCTATCCTACCATACTTTTCAACTGTTTTGTCAATAACATTCTGTCAGATAGAAAGGAAAAAGGAATCATTTGAAAATTAAAAAAAACAAGAGATGTTTGTGAAACACTTATGCCCCCCCCCCCCCAATAATTGGAATTTTTCTAAGTACAAGTGGCATAACTCTGTCAAGAATTGTTCGATCGTACCCAAAGCAAAACTTGACCTAGATATTCTTATGATAAATCCGTATACCAAATTTCATTTCAGTATGTGCAACCTCTGTGAAGAAAATGAACGTAAACTGCAAATAATTGGAATTTTTCTAAGTGCAAGGGGCATTACTCTGTTAAAAATTGCTCGATCGCACCCAAAACAGAACTTGGCCTAGATATTCTTATGATAAATATGTATACCAAATTTCATTTCAGTATGTGCAACCTCTGCGAAGAAAATGAACGAAACTGTTGGTGGACCGACAGACAGACAGACAGCTAGACCGACCGACCGACAGACAGCAGCAAAGCAATATGCCCTCTCTTCTTCGAAGGGAGGCATAATAATAGATTAATTCTAAGATACAAAGTATCATACCGTATAATTAAGAATTCTAATTTTGAAGAACAACAATCCATATATATTATAGAAAATTACGTAAGAGTGCTTGTTAGTATACTGTACACTAATAATATAAATATTATGGTGTTAGCACAATATCTTGAATTGTATTTTGAAAGAATGTAAAAAGCATAAAAACATTTGTTTTCTCCACTTTTTTCCATATTAACTACGCCCTTGCCTAAATATTCATTAATTTAAAGCATCTGTTTGGAGAATTCATTTTAAAAAGTTCTATCCGACCTTTGACAAACTGTAGCTCCATTTATATCTAACCTTGATTTGATCTTCTTTGCTGACGTCACACTGAATGAATATAGCTTCCCCGGGGCCAACGGCCTTCATCTCGCTTTCTAAGGCCCTCCCTGTAGCCTCTGTGATAATTACAAAATTAAAGAAATAAGTATACCAAATATTTATTCGATTTTTGTTGATATTTCTAAAACAATATGTGAAGAACCCCAGATTTCCATTCAAGATTGAAATATTTAACATTCAACAAATTACATCGCAATAAGAATCAAATATAGTTGATTACCTCCTCTTGAACAGAACACAACTTTAGCGCCATGCTTCACTAAAAAAAATAAATAAAAAAAATTACACAGAGATTAGATTCTGCCTTTAGTTACTGCATGTGGAGCACATGGCTCAGTAGTCATGGGTGTTTGGCCAACAGACACCTAGTATCGCCCCCCCCTTTTTTTTCAAACGTATCCTTGTATGTTTAAAATGTTCATTGAAAGGGCCCCCTCCTTTTTGTCGCATGGTCCCATGGTAATGTTAATACAATTTGTTTTGAAAAAATTTTGAAACTTACCCCCCCCCCCTACACACACGAAATAGGATTTTATTTTTGCTTGTCAAAGATTTTTCAGGTAAGTTGTTAATTTTTTTTCGGGCTGGTCTCCCCTCCCCTCTTTCAAAAACGATGCTATGTACCTGGCTAGAAACCCAAAAGTCAGGTGGTTCGAGCCCCGCCACGGGCACTCAGTCCACGCAACTGCAATGGTTATCAGTTTATTCTGGGGGTTAACCTGCGATGGACTAGTGTCCCCCTTGCTTTTTAATTAGCATGGTATTAATCATTGACAGGCGTTGAACCCCCTCCCCCGAAATAGGTTTTTCGATTTTGGAGAAATTAAAATTTTTTTGTCAACGTTTTTTCAGGTATCTTGTCCATTATTCACCCTCCCTTTTGAAAAATGAAGTAATCACTATATATATGGGGGAGGGTTGCTAATAGAGACATTGTTCCTCCACTCCTCCATGCTCCAACTCCTATCAAATATTTCAACTTCAAATGTACACCCATTTTTATACATTTCAATTAAAGCAAAATGACAACCTATAAAATACCATCTGGATCATTTATATAACCATATTTTTACTTTAAAACTTACACTAGTAATAGAAAAGCAGAAAGGGTTTACCATGTTAATTTACCTACTACACGTACATGTACTGTACTATTTTTAAAAACATGTTTAAAATATATTGAGCCCCCCCCCCCCCCAATAATACGTTACAGACGTTGTATTATTAGTTTAACCATGTTTTGACCCCGATTAAGAACTGTGACTGTCTACCAAGATAGCTTGATAGCTCGACTGATAACGGAAAATATACTAGCTATTATTATAAGTACATATATCTTTTATCTTTTTAATGAAAATATACAAGACATGCAACGGGCACCTATTTCAAGATAAAGTGCATACGTACCAAACACTTGGACACACCCCTTTCCAATACCGGCGCTTCCTCCCGTGATAATCGTTACTTTGTCTCGATACCTCACGCCTGCATCAGCCATGGTTTGTTATTGACAAGTCATATGATCAGTCATGTGACCTTAAAAAAGTATGGTCACGCGTTCAGCAGCAAAACTCTTAAGTACACACAATCATATTCAATGCCTTACATGTGTGTCACACAGACATTAAATACAAATAATATTGTGGATAAATTTGCGTGTTTGTGTGCGTTTTTTTTTTTTTATATCAAACATTACTTTAGTTAAACGTAGATAGAAATAAAAACATTTCTTCATTGTGTGTATCACAAGGGACAATTATATTTTACCCATTCACTATTGTATCAAGAAAACAATCACCAGAATCTGGCCTTATCATTTGATTTTTGACTATGAAAGAAAGGAAGGGGGTATATACTTTTTAAAATGAAAATATATACATTTACACAGTAGGGTAATAGTTATTCTCTTTCGAGAAGTGGACCGTGAGGCTTTTGCCTACATCCACTGTGGATGTATGTAGGCGAAAGCCTGTCCACTTCTTTAAAGAGAATAGGTAATTGTGAAAACAAAATATGACAAATAGTTCCATATATGTTGTTTTATTTGTAAAATTTATGGTATATATTATCTAAAATTTTCAACATTGCTTTCAAATATTTATATACATACCTGTATTAATCAAAAATGATAGAAATTTTAAAAATTTTACAAAACATTCAAACCTGACATAGTTAACAAACACAGTGTGCAAAATATAACAAACTTACTGATACATGCAGAACATTTACAACTGATTATCAGAAATATAAATAAGTTAGGCATGGCTTGTGTCATTTACAGAGTAAATGTTTCGTTAAGGAAGAATATTTAAGTAATGAGTTAGATAATGTACAATAATACAAATTGAGGACATTTTCTTGTAAAGTATGCTAAAGCTGGATAATTTCTTCTAAATTAAGATAAACATTTAATGTGTTGAAGTCATGTCTCTGCATCTTGCTGTCAACATAACAGAGGAGATTATATTTAAAAAAAATTCAATTGTGATATTGAAGTCATAGTTACATGAACAGATAGTAAAGAAGCACTTCATTCAGCTGGAGAATGTATATTATTTACTGTATATTTTAAAATGTTTCAAATTGACAGATCACAACCAACCTTTACCATGGGCAAGAAAATGTACTGTTGACTGCTTCCTATTTCAAACTTAACGGTGAGCTTCTATATCAAAATGAGTATTTCTGACATATATAAAACCCTGCATAGTAGGAGAGTTCTACTGTTAATGCAATGTGAAAGAATACAGTTTTCATAAGTTATAATCAGCATGTAAAAACGAATACAAATGGTAAAGTGACCTAAAATTATACACATGGATAAATATGCAGTGTTTATACTTTTAAAATGGAATGTTGAATTTCACATGAAGACATGCTTCAGAAGAATTGCATGTTCATATTGTATACTTTCTGTGATGGTAGTACATGTAATGCATGAATACAAACTGTGATTGTCAGAAAAGCTACTTTTATTACCATGACTATTTTGTAATCTTCAGAGGATGAAAAAGAAAATATATTGTTGTCATCCCAATAAATCCCACTTCAGTAAAAATCCGGTATAACAGGAACTTTAAGAAATTTGAATTATTTTTTGTGACATTTTCCTTTAACCCCCCCCCCCCCTCCCCACACACACCTTGCCTTTTAATTCTTTTGGCACTGAATTCCACTCCCTGAAAACTTTGATTTTATATAGCAAAATCAACTACAAATGTTTTACATCATATTTCAAAATTTTATTCTAATAATGATAGCCTTTTGGGGACTCCAATTTTTCTCCACAATATCTCTTTTATATTATTATAATAATGAGGAAAATAATTTCTGCACGAACTTCACATTTTGTTCAAATTTGAGCAATACAAAACCCCTATCCCAGGGTTGTGCATTGTGCATAATTATGTCTACAAGCAGAAAAACAAAAACACTACAGCTTTAGTTGATGTAAATTTACTACAGGGACATTCTGAAATACCAATGCTCCTTATTTCACTATCAAACTAACTTCAGTTTTACTTGCATTCATAAATTATGAAACAAATAACATTGAATTTTTTCATATGTTTTAAAATTGTTATTTCTCTCCAAAAAAGTGAATGTTAAGGCACATGCCAAATTAAATTTAGTAACTGATAAGAATGTAAACCTCTGCCAGCAGAAAATTCTGAGAATATAATGTTTGAAGTAAAAAGTACAGAAAGTAAAAATTACTTTAAAAGACAATAATAAGCATTCTCATGTTGTAAAACTAAAACCCATGCACGTCAACCATACTCAGTTATTTGACTTTGGATGCTGTATTCATTGATAGCACTCATTTCTTATACTAAGTAACTTATACACACAAAAACATTATATTGTCATAAAAAAAACATGATGTTTCAATGGTACTTTTATATCTCAATTTCAATGCAACTCTTCTCAATCACATCATCCACTCATCCAAAACAACTTATTGTGCTCACTCATCCATATAAAATAATGTTTTCACTCAACCATAAACATTTGAAGAGTTCATTCAGGTGTGACCTATGACATCAGCAGCAACCCCCCTTCTCCTTTGGATTTTTTAGAATGTTTTGTCGGCTGTCAAGAGTTATCTTATCCTGGTCTTCTTCATCTCGTTTTATGTTGCTATCATTTTCTAATATCTGCAAAATGTTTAAAATAAATAGTTTGAGATATCACTAGTCAAATTTGTTAAAGTTTGTCTCCTCTTTCAAATCTCTTACAACATTACCTCAGTAATAGAACTATTATGTACACATTTTTACTGAGGTGGGGATATAATGAGGAGGTTTGGACATCATGTAGACTTAAACACTTTTCCCACATCTTGTATATCTTTATGTACTTTTTTGAAACAGTTGTTGGATTTTGTACTTACTCGTTGTACTAAGAACCTTGCACTGTCGTCAATGTTGATATTTTCTTTGGCTGAGGTTTCAAACCATCCAATAAAGCCTTTCTCTTTACAGAAATCATCCATCTGGTTTGAATTGTTTACTAGACCTTCCTTAGCCTGGTCACACTGTTAACATTTGTAACAATAAGTTAATTCACAGAAAACAAATATCTTTAACACAACAACTTTAAGGAAATTCTTCTCTAATTAGTCATCACTTTATTCAAGTTTATCTGCATTCTATATAAATCAATCTTGAAGGCTTCTGCCATCTTTTTGCAATGGTCAATCATGATAGCTCTCCCGTTTGAGTAATCACAGCAATACTGTAAACCAACGTTTATTTGCCTGCGAGTTTCGCGCCTACTTTGACTCACGAATATTAATCGCCACAAACAATTCATTTTGCTTTTATTTTTGTAGAGAATGTTTCTTCAGTCACGAAAATTAATTGTCACGGATCGATTTCAATCTGACGAACTGTGAATAAAAGATGACGTAAATAATAGATGGTTTACAGTAATTATAATACATCAGCCGGAAATGTCTCACTCTTTCATGTCATACTCACCAATCAGAAATATTTAAGTAAGATAATCACAAAAATTTTACTTCTACACCTAAGAACAACCACCCTCTACCAGAACTGTGACCAGAGAACTTACTTTATTAGCTAATAAAACACAAGGGACGGGGCTACCATCTGCCAGTTGTACTTTACTGTCTAAATCACTCTTCCATTTCACCACTGCATCAAATGTGGAAGCCCTTGTAACGTCGAACACAATGAAACACCCTACTGCCTCTTTGTAGTATACCCTTGTCATGTTACCAAAGCGCTCTTGACCTAATAAAAAATTACTTCCCTATCTATTATTGTATTCTGATTAAACTTAAATCTCCAAAAATATTATCTATATGGAATTATTCTATGAATCTCTGTCATATTATATACAAATTCATGAATTTAACATTCTTGAAACTCTCTTTTTAGTAATTTTACATTAAGTCATTATTATTAAGCAGAGAATTTCCTTTCAAGTTGATTTGAACATACCAGCAATGTCCCATAGCTGTAATCTGACAATTGTGTCTGCATCCCAGTTCAGGACCTTTAAGGCAAAGTCTACACCAATCTGATAGCAGAGGTTAAGAAAAATGCAGCACAAGACAAGACTTCCAACAAAGAAGTACTGACATTTGCACAATTTAAAGAGTAATAAAACCTAAAAAACTATATCAAATATTCAGCATTCCCCACATAGGCCACCACTACAAGCACTGGTTCTGAATCCACTTTTACAAGTAATATTGTATTCAAAACCTTTGGCTTATTCTTAAGCTAAGAACAACTCTTCCAATAATGCAAAGTATTGCATTTAAATTCAAGATTTTGTTTGCATTCAAAAAGACTTTGATTAATTTGAAGGTATGCTATAATTGTCCCTTTATTCTGGAGCTTGAAAAGGTATCTACAGATTTTAAATAAGCAATTTTTTTTTGGGGGGGGGGGGGGGGGGAAGAAGAAAAATTTGATAATATAAACTGTCATTCCACTTTATCGAGGACCATTTTGTACTCAGGAAAGTTTTTTTTCTCAATATTGACCATTTTATAAATAATTTTGTCTAAACTTTCACCTTTGACTTAGAAACTTAGCTCAAGGTCATTGCAAACACTTTACTCATGAGCACTCATTGCTTGAAGTATGATCCAGACAGGACCAAAGGGAGAGAAAATATGCTCACAACAAGGATGACACAGTAATCTGCTATGACCTTGACCTCTGACTTAGAAACTTGGCTCAACATCACTGCACTACTTTACCTAGGGCATTCTATGTGGCAAGTTTGATCCAGTCTGGGCCAAGGTATATGGGTAAAGCTTGAGTCAGGTTAGACCAAAGGGGAGAAAATATGCTCTGGACAAGGATTTCACAAAGATGTGTTTTGACTTTGAACTTTGATCAAAGAACTTTGTTCAAGGTCATGCACATCCTTAACTAAAGGGCACTCTATAGGGACAAATATGAGCCAGAGGGGAGAGAGAAAAAATGCTCTGAAATTTTTTTTACATAGACATATATTTTGACCTTGACCTTTGATCTAGAAACTGGTTCAATGTCACTGCACACTTTATATCAGGCACTCTCTAAGTGAAGTTTGAGCCAGATTGAGCCAAGGGAAGAGAAATATGCTTTGAACAAGTGATATCAGATGTATGGACAGACTGATCACTATAGGACACACACAGATCAGGGCTCTCATAAAGTGTTTAGGGTGTATTCACTCAATAAATTATGTAGGAAAACACTCAAAATACTAAATTTTCAAGAGCACAGTCTATTTTGGAAGATTTGTAGGCATTAAGAATTTCTTTGTGTATAAAGTATATAGTGTATGTGACCTCTTTATCAGCTTGAATATTCAAGTTTGGGGCTACTCTGTGGAAAGATTCACTTACAAGAATGAAAATCTTATAAGTTTATCATTTTAAAAAATACGTAAACTGCCTTGATTTTTGAGCTAAATCCAACCTTGAAATCAATGTAAATTACTCATATTAAGAGAGGATACAGTAGCTCTGTAGTGCTGTGAGAAGAACTGATGGACGTATCGCTTTATGATGGATGTCTTTCCTGTCCCTAGTTCTCCGATCACTAAAATCTTATACAGGTGCTCCTTCTTCTCAGGACTTCCTGCCTGCAATTAAAAAATATAGAGTAAAGTATATATAGATCAACAGGTGCCCCCTGCACCCCCCCCCCCCTTCCTACAAACAGTACTGTCTAAACTTCATTCATACAGAAAATTTAATGACAAACATATACATCTCATATTTGCCTACAGAAAATCAAAAAATGGACCAATAGTCTGTACAGACCTAAATACAGAGAGTTGTCCTTTAATTACAAATAGTTTTATATCACCAGTGGTCCTTTAATCAAAATGAAATTTACCCTGAAATTTAAAAATGTTACAAGGATTCTGTTCAGTTACATGCATCCTGGGAATTATTGATCATAATTTCTTACTGAACACAAACCTAATCTACTAATTCTTCTGAAACAATGCTAATGTTACTATCTGAGTCAACACAAGGTACCAAGTTTAAACAGTACTGTGATACTTAAATGTCCAGCCAAGTATCATTATTACTATATAGACAACAAGATGTACCCATTACCCTATATTGACATAAGCTACCTATTTTGACTTCCTTCATTATATGTACCTTGTTAAAAATTTATGGTATGATTGGTTCATTACACTGATAACACAAGTCCATTTGGTTCAGGGTGACTAGATTTATCTCCATACAATATAGATAAAAAGCAAAACAACCATACTTTGTTCAACTACAGAATATAAATTACTTGTGCATTTACAAATGTACAGTTAGGCTTGATATGTTTTACAAACAGTTTTCTCTGAGAAGAGCCTTTGGTGTTAATTTTGTATAGAATGGAAAATTTCCTTCAAACTGCCAATTAAACCCTCAACTTTCTGTTTCAGAATGGTTAAGCCCTTTCACATTATTGAATTCCCTCTTCCCCTAATAGCATTCTGAGTTTTGAGAAACTTCCTACTGTGAAATCATTAGATTTTGTAGTGGCTTAATTTCCAGGGACTTTGTGTGTACCTCTCATCCATGAATTAACATCCTCTATGAATTAATAACTTAGGGTTACAAAGTCATATTTCCTCTTGTAGGTATAAGAGAATACAGGAAAATACGTCCCCACAAACCTGTATGATTTAAGAAATCCATGAAAATTGGCCCCAACAAATTTTAAAGAGTCCACAGTACTTCCTTTATTTTTCTTCTGCTATTCGATAATTTTTCTGGCTACCATCCCCAAACATTGAAAAACGACGCAATCTAAAATACTTCAAAGTTATGTCATTTTCTTTCATATCCCTTAATGTAGATATTGATGTTGTACTTTGATGTGAACAGAATACAAGATCTGTGTTGTAACGTCAGAAAGAATATTATAATATCTGTGTTGGAGAGCAGTGTTTTGATATTTGTGTTGGAGAGCAGTGTTTTGATATCTGTGTTGGAGAGCAGTGTATTGATATCTGTAATGTAATGAGAGCAGTGTATTGATATCTGTGATGTGTATTTTGCAATGTTATGAGAGCAGTGTATTAAGAGTGTATAGATATCTGTAATGAATTGATATTTTATTAATATAACAATATCATATATTAATATAACAAGAGTGGTGTATCAATATCTGTATTGTAATAAGAGCAGTATACTGAGACCTTTATCATATCATTACATTCCTGGCATGTACAATACTACTGGTATATACAATTCAAATACATTTATGTGAGAGAGTTTTATGTCATTCCCTTTGCTAAGTCTGCAAAATTGTCTACTAAGAATATTGCGAGTTTGAACAAATTCTATTAATGCTTTATACATGTGTATATATTCATTGCACTCAGACTACATCTTATGTAAATCAAAAATGGACCAAGCAATGTGTACCTTTAACAATGTTGAACATGATTAATGCACAGAATTAGCATGATTATGGCCTCTGAAGTTTTAAACATTCTTTGATATGGAGGACTGGACATTAATTTTGTGACCACACATTTGCTCAGATCTGAAATTGAGATTCCTGCCTTCACATACAGGTGTAAACATATGACTCCATTTGCATCTATAGGCTAAACATCCCTGTCTATAACTATAGATACTGTGAGCATTGAGCTCAAAAAATGATCCCCCCCCCTCCTGTCTTCCATATGTTTATAATGGCAAAGTCCATTATTTGCTATGGGAGACCCAAAATAAGTGTTCAGTTCAATCAAAAAGTAAAATAGGAGGTCAAAATGGCACTATGTAACAAAGATTCTGTAAAAGTCTCATTAAATTTTATTCAGTGGTATAAGAGGAGTTGCGGATAAGAGATGTGTACCCCAAAGCTTAACGGACAGACAGACACACAGATGGATGGACACCCCCATCATTTTACAACACCAGCTTTTTATGCGGGGGTGTAAAAATAATGATTAACTTAAGAAATCATTCCAATCTGACATGCATTATCTTATTCATTCCTTTTCTCCACTTCAAGTGCTATGGGTATCCAGAGCTCTTAAAACTTCTCCCTCCAATTTCTTAAAAGGATTATATGATTTAGCGATAATCTACCCTGGAAAGATTGCAGTACAATATTAATCATGGTTGACATCCTTTTTTTCATCAGATTGTGGATTTAAGTATACAGCCTCTGTACATTTATTTAAATACAATGAATATCATCAACTTTATACTTTTATGTAAACATTTTTTAGAAAAATGTTTTCAATCAACCCGAACTGACATTTTTTTTAATCCAATGGTCAATATATATTTTAGCTTACTAATATTTGCATGATTTTATTTTTCTTAAGTACTTGTCACATGGTGAACTCCAGTTTTTCACATGATAATGAGATAATGAAAAGCTTAATGAAATAATAATTTAAAAAAAAAAAAAAAACACAACTTCCCTCTGAACATGTAAAAATAAGCCAAAACACAATTCTTTTTTTAACTAATTATGTCTTATGACTTCCTTACAATACCTATAGTACCATTGACCTGGATATGAGAATGACAGTAAACATACCAGGATATCTTTTTAAGGAAGTGTAGTAACACATGATTACAATGTTTGATAAGGTCCATGAGTAAAACTGTTAGTTCTGATAGGTAGAGACATATTATTTGTTTGTACCATCCTTAAGACCATTAAATGAACTTGTTATACCTGGATTTTGTTTCATGCTCAGGACCATACATGCAGTTTACAAAGTTCAGGGCTTAAGCCATCCTTAAAAAATTGTTTTGGAATTGCCGCCTGGGAGGTTTCAGACCAAGGAGGGAGGGAGGGAAATAATTTGTTTTTTTTTTCAAAATTGAATTAAAAATTCATGATAAAAATCTCAATAAGGAATGAACACATTATTTTCTGCCTTCTTGTAAAGGGTATCTCCAATCAACCAGGAACCCAGTTTGCTTAGATCCTATACCCTTATTAAATGATTGGGTGGCACATGTGGTAGCAGGCCAAGAAATGATTGAATAAAAAAAAATCTTCTTATTTTTGGTCAATAAAATTTTTCCAGGAGGGGTCATTTCAATGAGGCAGGAGGCAATTCCAAACAAACAATAATTTTATTTTGGCCTTATCATATGGAAAGTAATCCATGTATACCAATCCATAAAGGTATACTATCTACTGTAGAAGGACAGGAGGAATGAATAAAGAAAATATATGACTGGACACTGGAAATCAAACCCATTTCACTAGTTAGGTACTCTAAGCACCAAGCTACCCAGCCTGATATCCATGGTCCATGTAGCTCAAACTAGTATACTATATATTAAACAATCTATCCAGAATGTTCACAAGGCTTAAAATAGTTGTATTACCTCACTATCAAATAAAATGTTAAGATATTATTTTCATTGCAATCGAAATCTAAGCCTTACCTTTACATGTGCAGCTTTGAGTACACAACTAGTATCCATGTGAGAATATCTCAAGAACATTTTTACAAGACTTACATAGGAGAGAAATCTAATATAAAGATTTAAGTTTAATTCCTTGATGGAATTTCAATCCTGATGCAGATATATACATTAGGTTACCTTGTTACTGTTGCATTGTCAATGATGAACAATATTACAGAATTCTAAATCCCAAAAAGACAGCATATTTTAAGTAAAATTAATATCAATGGGGCATTTTTAATGACATTGAAAGTCACTAAATTTATTATTATGCTTGGATTGTAAATTTTCAGTTGAATCATTTAGAATCCTCTATTAGGAGGTATAGCTTAAGGTGTCTGACCACACAATTATCTCAAGGTAATACACACGGATCACATACTTAATATACATAGACGTTCACACTTAGTCAAGTCTTACATCACAAGACACTGTGTACCTAATATATACACTGATACATATATTATATTCAAGGATAATCGCTTACATGTATACATATGTACTATTAAAAAGACTTACTTGATATCTAAACACAAGCAGGAGATCAAAAGGAGAGGTATTTAAAAAATGCTTGAAATGTACTTGAATGGAATTTATCCATGCTTAATGAATCAATCACTGTGTGCAAATAAATACATGTACTGTATAGGGGTAAAATAACTTGCTGTGTTAACTCAGGTCAGCACAATAGGAAGTAAATAGGTTCATCTTGTGTATCAATGTATAACAATGCTTCTGAAAGGGTGCACAAACAGAATAAATAATGAAAAGTAAAGCCTGAGTTTAGCAGCAAAACTTACCTTCCGAATTAAATCAGAGTTAACATTTATAATGGCATTCATACTTGCTCATGCACACAAGTAATTCTCCGAACTAAAATCCATTTTTGCACAAGGATCTATGTATGTGGATGAAATAAAGAACTTCATTGTTTGATCATTATAACAATAAGTAAAAGTTTATACATGTATCTTCTCCACGATCCCACAGGAAGCTAGTCTCTTTACCAGAAAGATAACTTATAGCAGTAAATGAAGTATCGCACAATATGCTCCATTCAATGTACTATTGTAAAGAGAAGATCAAATTATAAATGTTAATTACAGTTCTATGTATGAATCTTTTTAACTGAGAAAAGCCATTACATGACTCAGAAAATCCTTTTATCCATGGTGGAGAGTTAAAAAAATGAAATTTATGAAAATGAAAGGTAAGCAAATTATAATATTCACAAGCCTCTTTAATTTAAAAAGTTACGAGTCTATATGATGAATGTATGAAAACTTATTAGTTATTACCTTAAAATGTTTGATGAAGTCCTCCCCCCCCCCTCCAAAAAATGTAACAACTTTAATTTCAGATTTGTCATTTTCAATGTTAAAATTACACATAAGTGTATTACTCAAGAACTGAACACCTTCCACAGCACTGGCCATATCCTAAAAACATATGCATGTACCTAGTTTGATGCAACTTTAGATATTCCACTACTTGGTCAAGATATGAACCTGGATTATTCCTGTGTCAATACTGGTACACTTAATTTTAATTTACACAATGTCAAGTCTCAGAACACACAACTATCCTTTTTAATTATAGTAATTTTTTGTAAGCATTCATTATCAATTTCTTGAAATACATCTACAAGAAAATTGCAAATCAACATTTCAAGGTGAGACTTAATATAGAACAAGATACTGAATAATTTTCTCCTTTAAAAATTTAAAAATTAGTACCTGGATATCTGATACAGGTGCATGTCCATTAGGAATAGTTTCCACCTGCTGCTTATTCCCCTCCCTAACCATTGTCATGAATATCTCCCTCACTTAAAAAAACTAACAAACTGAATCAGGAAATATCACACACTAAAATGTAGTCCACTCTTATGCAAGTTATCCTGTCTACTATAAGCTAATGAGTGATCTGCAATACACAATGTTCAGTCACATGGGCAGTATCACAAGGCCATTCTTGAAAGAATACTATTTAACACAAGAATGAATCCAAGGCCTTGACTCAGTGTATTATGTATGATTTAAACGTAATAGGCTATGTCTGTCTTGGGTAAATGCTTCTAATTTTCAAAAAACTAAAATAAAATAAACTGGTAATTGTTATCTTTTATCTAAATTGATGACATACAGGAGGGTTCCTGTACGCTTTTCTTCACATAAAATAGTAATACTGCTGACCAAAAAAACCCATAAAAGCGGTCTTCCAAACACTGCTGATTTATACAAATGACTTAGTAAAAATGACAATGTCAGTGGAACAGGTATAAATGTATTGTTCTGTTAAAAAGGGGAGGTGAAGAAAATCACCTTCATCGAATACACCCAAAATGTACCTCTTCCAAGATATTTACTTATTCCATATTATGACCTTAACCCCAAGTCATGTGACGCGTCTTTAAGACTACTAGAGGTCCTAAATCGTCACGTTACCATCCGAAGGTATTGGGCAATTCTGACAGCTGAATGAGAGTGTCTCTGGGCGATTTTTTAATCTGAGTAAGTTATAAGACTGAAACTTACCATGATGCACCTCCAATCTCCTCCCTGAGAGTCTAAGTCATAGATGATGCTGTTATCTCTCGATACTACACACACTACCTACTTTCTGACTATCATGTGACATGTTTGTTTTGCAAATAGTTTTTCGATTGTCGTTAACAGCTGGTAAAAGTTCTTCGTTTGAAAAAATAATGTTTATAATGCAGAAGAATTGTTTTTGTAAAAAAAAAATCCATTTGATTTCTGTTTTGCTGAATATATGTTAATTTTTATTGTCATATTTTACGACAATGTTCACTTTTGTGGTAATTTTATTTGGTCTAACAAAATCTTCCTTCAAATGCGCAGACATCGGGGTAGAAATAAGCCCTCAAGTGACATCGACGATATCTGTCTCGTACGTGGAAATTGTCAATATTGACTGTTCTTTAAATTTGAAAATGCTTATCTTGATTTAATTTAAATGACAGTTATGTTATTCTGTAGTAAGTATTTGGTACACCAAGTGGAATCATGGAAACTCGATCGCGAGCAGGAAGAAAGCGCTTAGACAGCATGGGAGGAGAAGATGCTCCCGCTGAAGTATTTGAGAAAAATACCCAACTTCCGCAGTCTACCAATGAAGTACAAATTGGGAAATGGAAATTTAACAGAGTCATATTTAGTACCCATTTCAATATCTTCTTATATGCGACATGCTTCTGGATACAAATAGGCACTTTGCCTGTAAGAAATATGTTACAAATATATCCTATAGACAGGGGCCTATATACTAAGTATATAGGTCCCTGATATAGATTAAGGAATATATATTTGAATCTCCTTTTTTCAAAAGTTATGTCCCTTGACTGCCATCTTTGGGGGAAAACCCATAAAATTCCCACAGTGGCCTTTTTTTGTAACTTTGTCATTTGACCAACAAAAAAAAAAAGAGTGAGAGAGAAAAAAATGCATGCATCTCATGTTATTTTTATAATGATTATAATAATAATAATAATAATAGTACTTTATTTTTTTATTCCTCCTGATGAGGCTACCCATACATGCAGGAATAAATTTTAAACTGTGGATTTATTGGAAACAAATATTTGGTATTATAAGGAGCAGAAAGCTTGCTTTTCCCTTGACCATGCAAAGGGACACAACTTTTGCTAAGTGTGGATTGGACAATACAGTAAAACATGCCTATAACAAAGTCCCTTCCTTATAAGTGCTTTCTTATAAACATAATTAGTTTTATCCATTGTTTACAATGTATTTTAAAGTCACTTTGCTGTAAGCATCAATTCATTGTAAGCATGTTTGCTAGAAGCATGTTTTACTGTACTTTAAACATGGAAATTTCCATATTAGTTATGCAAATCACTAGAAAAAAAATAATGTGTAGAGGTAATTTCTGCGATGCCTTCCACTTGCATATTTAATGCAAATGAGTTTTTAATGAGGTTTATTTTTATTCTCACTAAGTCAGTGTACCAGTATATACATGTATATAAACCCAACATGCAGATTTCCAAGGTTGCAGTAATTGGCATTAGACATCTTAGCAGATTGTCAAGACATTTTTAAATTAGTGAAAAAATCAAAAATAAAAAAAAAATTGTGGTCAGTTTAGTGGAAGATCTATTGGACATCTAAAGGGAATTTGAATTATAAAAATATATCCGAAATAAATTCCACTAAAATGTCCATTGAAATTTTTATAGGAAACAAAATTTTCTTCCACTGAAATGTCCTCAAACTGCAGTAATTACATGACCCAGAATGATGTATTTCCTTCTGACCTAAAATGGCCTAAATTCAGAGTAATCATATAAGGTTGGATAATAAATCACTTGGTATTAAGAATAATAATCATGATAAAATAAAAACTTAGATGAGTGTGTTTAACAAAAGAATTATATGCTATTTTTCTACTACAGAGTGATAACTTTAACACCACAGTTATACATGTTTGAATATGACATCATTCTAATTGTTCTAGAAGTTAAGCCAGAATTGTAGAGTTGTGGCATTTCTTCAGAAATTAAAAAAAATAATCATAAATATTTTTAAGGTGTTAAAAATATGCATGTGAAAAAATTGATAGCAATGTTTTGTGACTAGATAGTCCTTAGATCTCATTTTTTGTCAATGAAACACATTCATCTGTATTCAAGATGACCTAATTTGAATAAAACTAATAAATAAACAAGGATTAAACATGTTCAATAATTTGCAACCAACTTTAGCCAAGGCCTTGACCTTTGACCTTGAAATGGTAAAGATAGCCTTTCTTGTTGTTAACCTGTCTTAACTGTCACCTTGAGTTTACATGTATAGATAACGTAGGCTGTAACACTTTGGATATCAAATTTATTTTGACTTTGACAGGTAAAGTTCATGTGTAACCAAATTTGAATTTGTTGCCTAGATTTCTCAAGATATAAATTTATGCATTAGGCTATATAAGACTTTGTTATCATATTTGACCTAGGCTACTGGCCTAGGTATAAGATTATTTTGCAAAATAAAAAAAAAAATAAAATAAAAAAGACCATATTAATTGATAGTGATGTAAAATAAGCAGATGTGTTTACTTTTGCTAACATTGCATGTAGCCCCAGCTGTTTCTTGACACTTGCATATAAATAGAAGCAAAGAAAAGCTAAAATTTATGTCAGTATGATTTAAACTGAAATTGAAATGATTGAAAACTGTCAAATGTTTAACAAGATGTGTGGCATAAGCCAGTTATGTAAATTTTTTTCTGCAGTGGTTTTAACCGTTAATCCTACTTTAATGAACGAAGAAAGATATTTTATTGTTTGTTTTTGTATCTGATTATAGAAGAGAAATGCATTAATTGAAGATTTACCCAAATTTCCCAATTTACCCAAATGCTCACAAATCAGTCTTTGAATTTTCAATGTTGACACAAGTTTAAGTATGTTTCCATGTCCACTGGAAGTCCAAACTTTTGTTTAAATTTTGCTACCATGTTATTTTATTTCATTTTATTCAACAATTTTAATAATGTTTATAGTTTATACAAATATAGCTTGCTGCACTCAAACAAATATTTGGTCTTAATCTACTTTCAAATTGATCTTTAGTGTTATGTATTATTTCTTTATTATAGCAGTGTGTTTAACTTATTTTTGTTCTGTTTCAGTACTTAACAAAGAAGCTTGGAGTTGATCCAGTATTCTTCGGGTATCTTCAAACAACATTTGCTGTGGTACAGTTATGTGGGGGTCCAGTGTATGGGAGGTTTGGAGACATGTTTGGAGGGAGAGCAGCCATGGCTCTCGCCTTTGCCTCAGCTTCAGTTTCATACTTCCTGCTGGGTGTAGCTGACAATTTCTTTTCACTTTTCCTATCCAGACTGCCATCCATCTTCATGCATGCTATGCAAGGTTGGTATAAAACTAGATAGAGAGTCTGACTACTGAATTAGATTTATTTATCTGACAAGAAATCTTTTTCACTGTTAGGTCTGGTTATGAAAATTTCATGTATATAAGAAAATTTAATGACAACTTTAAAAAAGCCAAGCCATGATTAATTTTATTTATATGGAAGCATCCTCAGTGGTGTAGATTCAAGTCATGATTCCTGGGAGTAGGTTGGGGCCATAGTGAGTGATCAAAGTTTTACATAGGAATATGCTGGAAAAATATTCTCAAGATTGATTGATTGATTGTATGTTGTTTTACGTCCCATTCGAGAATTTTTCACTCATATAGAGACGTCACCATATACTGGTGAAGGGCTTCAAATTTTGACCTTTACTCGGCACTCAGGGCCATTGAGCAGTGAGGGATCTTTATCGTGCCAACGCCTGCCGTGACACGGGGCCTCGGTTTTTAAGGTCTCATCCGAAAGACCCTCAACTTTCACTTCAAAGTGCTGAGCGCATGGCGAAGGAACAGTTGCTACCCATTTTATCGACTTGGGTCTGTCGCGGCCGAGATTCGAACTCACGACCTCCCGTTCACAGAGCGAGCACTCTACCGACTGAGTATTCTCAAGAACAGCAAAGCCATGATTAGTTTTATTGACGGTATAAACTCGCCTATAAGTTGGTCCGCCTATAAGTTGGTTGTATTTTTTGAGGTTGTTTTAGAGGGATTTGCCATTGACCCGCTTATAAGTACAACTTTTTGTTAGAATCGGTTAACAATTTCAAACCAATGCTCGGATGTTTTAACCTGGTTTTGGTTAATATTCTTAGAAATGACACCGATATTTAATTTTAAATCATTAAGAAAAATACATAATGCGTACTTTAAATAAAAATAAAGTTATTAAAATATGTAAATACTTGTACTTTATGTATAATCTTAAAATGCATGAATGATATGATATAACCATACTACATTTCGACGTCCAGATAATACTAATCTTTTTATGACTCGCCTATAAGTCGGACCTAGAGTTTTGGACCAAAATTTAACTCCCAAGAAAACCGACTTATAGGCGAGTATATACAGTATATCAAGCAACCTCAGATAGTGTAGGTTCAAGTTTGTTCAAATTTTGATCCCCAGGAATAGAGTGGGGCCACAATGAGCAATCAGTTTTACATGGGAATATGCTGGAAAAATCTTCTCAAGAACAGCAAAGCCATGATTAGTCATATTCATATGGAAGCATTTTCAGGTAGTGTAGACTCAAATTTGTTCAAATTATGAACCCCAGGGGTAAGGTGGTGACACATCATGTGATCAAAATTTTACATAGGAGTATATAGGGGAAAAACAGCAGGGCCATCATAACTTAGCTGAGCAATGTGGCCCATGGGCCTTTTGTCTCTCATTATGTAGTCAACTGCATGCTCAAGCAAAAAAGTACATACAGATTTGAACATGATAAATGTATTTATGGTTGACTTTGACAGGTGGGCAGATGATTGTGACTGATATGGGAGAGGAAGGACAGAGAGCAGCAGCTCTGGGCAAGCTGGGATTGTCATACGGAGTGGGCATGGTGATTGGCCCATTCTTAGGAGGATTAGTGACCAAATACTTCAGGTAGGATAATTATTCATGTGATGAACATTTAAGACAAGGCCATGAACCAGGATTCATGAAAGTGGGAAAAAATTGCAACATTTAGTCCAAAATTGGGAAGGTCAATATAATGTAGAGATAATACAAAATATATTAATCATCATTGGGGTGGGGGGTGAGGGGGTTATCAGGGTCATATTCACAGATTTGGGAGACCCAATAATTGTTCAAACAAACCTTCCATTGTTTAAGATATGCATATAAATACACTGGAAAACATTTCTGTGTAATCTTAAGAACAATAGAGCTTGGATTTGTATAATTGATTATGCAACAGCAAGCATCATTAATATATGCTTTAATATATATAAAAGTATTCATTCAAGACTTTTCAAATTATCACCCACAACTGAATGCGTGCTGATATTTAAAAGAACTGTATATTTTATACCATTTCTCATTGTCAGAGACTCAGAGCAAGATTACTCAGGTGAGCATTGCTGCCTATTGGTTGTTTAATTCATTGATTTGTGTATTGCAGTGAACAGACAGCTGCCTTTGTAGCCTGTGCTGGTTCCCTTGTCAGTATGGGCATTGTATGGATGTTTGTACCAAAGAGAACAAAGAAATCACATCTAAAGGGTAAAAAAATCAATTTGATCAGAGCTTTGTTTGAATTTTTTTTAGTGAAAATTTGTCCTCATGATTTAATCATATGTTTCCTTCCCATTGCTGTGGAGTGTCATACTACAGTTATCCATACAGTAATTTTTAAATTGGAATAATTTTGTGATTGAATGGTTCTTCAGTGAATGTAATATAAACTTCCCAGAACACTTCAAATTCATAATGAACTTCCTGTAACAACAAAATTAACATTAACCTGCATTTAATTCTTTACTCTTGTATAATATCTTTCATTCACCTACATTCTAAAACAACACAATTTGAGATATGAGCAAACCCCACATGCTGATGTCTGTTATTTCACTTTCATTTTCAGAGAGTTCAGATTCAGCTGTTTTCAGTTTGAAGAAGATTTTCTCTTTGATAATGGCTCCAGGGGCCCCTTTTTTACTCTTCATCAGGATGCTGGCAGGTAAGGACTACAGGACTGGAAATTTTAGTTACACATAAAGATAAATGTCATACATAAAACACCTCCTTAAACTATAACAGATGGAAAGTGTTAGATATTTATGAATTTTTTTTTTTTTTGTTAGTAGAAAACTTTTAGCAAAAGTAGTATTTTAGGCCAAATAAAATTGAAATTACAGTTTTCAGGCCTGTGTGCATCCCTTTTGAGGGAGCTGCATTGCAAATTTTATCATATATTTGATAAAATAAAAAGTTGGTTATGCGGAGCGGAGATCAATGCGGAAAAAAATCTGCCTTCATTTATTTTGTGGTTTTGTACACATTTTGCTTCTGATAGCTATTTTCAAAAAGACTTGGCTACTTTGTTTAAAAGAAAAACATTCGAAGATAATGCCCACAATGTTCACACAAAAATGAAAACTTTAATTGGCAATTAAATTACTTTATGACAAAGTAGCATCAATTATACATATATTTGGATATATTGTGAGATGTGTAGTAGATTTAATTTAAAAGAATTAAAGAGAGTATTTTTTTATGAACAAAGAATTTTTATCATCATTTTATAGAAAATTCAGGGATAAAAAATTACATTTACATGTACTTCCCTCATCTACTTCATCGCCAATAAAGTGATTAAAAAAAACCTCCCTCTCTCAACTGTTTTGCAGAAAATTGGCCTGAGAACCAGAGAATTAAATTTATGTAATTGTAAAACAACGGAAAAAATATACAATAACTTAATGTATAATAATATATATATATATATATATATATATATATATATGTCTATACATTCTGTATAACAATACATGTGTATAGAAATATATATAGAATATTTCTATATAACAATCACAGGCACGGGATTTTACTTATTTTTCTTTTAATAAAAAATATACCCCCTACCTAAAAAATTCACGAATTTATTAGGTAGGTGTATATTTTTTATTAAAAGAAAAATAAGTAACATCAGGTGCCTGTGATAACAATATATAGAAAAATATATAAAATAGATGAATAAATAAAATCTTTTTGGAATCTAACTCCTAATCTGCAGTTAGTAGGGTAACCTCTCATACCACTGAGCTTCCAAGATAGTGTACAGTGAACCTGATAGTTCATATAAAATGGACTTTTACTCTGCAAGACTGTAATTGTAACATACTTTCTGTGGAAAAATACATGTAAATGGGGCAATGTGTTTTTCCTCCCAAGTTAAATACCGTAAATGAGATTTAATTCTATTTTGTATTTTTCAGGACTGCCAATTGGTGTTTTCCAAAGCATGTTTTCAGTAGTTGCCTTAGAAACTTTTAAACTACCTGCAGAGCAGAATGGCTATTTATTATCTTATGTTGGAATTTTAACTATGGTAATGCATTTAACCTAAGCTGAGTTTAAAAGTGAATCAGAAGTAGAAGAGTTGTCTTTTCTTACTTCACTATTTTTTTTTTCAGATTGTGCAAGGTCTTGGCATTGGAATATTAACAAAGAAGTTCTCAGAAAATGACATTCTCAAATGGTCATCATTTCTTCTTGTTTGGTCCTATTTAGCCCTTGTAAGTACAATTCACAAGGAATTTGAGACTTATCCAATTATGTATTAAATTAATTGATTTTAAGTCACTTAATGACTGATATACTGTTGTTTTCAGGCATTTGTAACTGATGTTTTCCAATTGTGTGTAGTAATGGCTCCTTTAGTTGTGGGACTGGCTTCCTCCAATATTGTAGTCAGCAGCGCCCTCACAAAGACGGTGTCTGACCAGGATACAGGTAATCAGGAAAGATAACTCATGACAAAATGAATCAAATAATTTACATAGATATAACATTGACAAATGACAATACATGCATCCTTGTACATTTGATATGATTCATATAAAATTTATACTCAGCCAGAGGGACACATTCAACAATGAAAATATCAGAAAATTGAATTCAGTTGACTTGTACCGGTATCTAAAAATGATATTCTTTCATATGAATTTCCAGGAGCAATGCTAGGATTGAACATGGCTGTTAACTCTTTAATAAGGACAATCTCTCCTACAGTTGGGGGATATCTACTAAAGCAGTATGGCTTTCAATCTTTCGGATACCTCGGATTCATAATGCTCACAGTTGCTACAATTATTCTGTTTATAAAATTGAGACAGTAGAATGTATCAGGGTATTTTGTCATGCATTCCTTAAGTTTACTGATATTTATATGATTTTTTTATGTCTGTGATTTTGTTTGTTTTCCAAATGACAGTACCTGATTTTATCTTTTAAGCCATTTATGTCTTGTTTAAAATGGGATATACTATGGTCATTGGATTATGATATGGGGATGATAATATATATTTCATAATTATGATCAATGCCAGGGTTTACTTCAAATTGTTATCATGTTTCAAAATATAACAATAAAAGTTGACTGATATAACAGGAGAGTTGATGTGTGAGTCTTCTCCTGTATGGTGTTTTATGTTGTGTTGAAATTTGACTCTGAACTTTTGACATTTTTAAAACATATACATGTACATGCTTATGGGTCAAGTTAAAGGGCAGGTGTAAAAATGGTACAGTTTATTAGTGGGGGGGGGGGATATAATCTATTATCACTACAGATCTATCTTAAGTTGCAGTTTTCCTTACAGTGTTATAAGGAAGAAGTGTGCATCTAAGACACACATCCTTTATAAGGATTTTTTTTTCTATTGAACAAATTTGCACTATTTAAAGGAGCACCATTTTTTGTTCGGAGGTAGAAGTGTAAGTTTGTAGAGTTAACACATATGTTTTCTCTTAAACTGTCTCTGTTGAATAAAAGTATAACAACATTGAAATTGTATAATTATTCTTATCTCTGATGTGCAGATTACAGCTGTATTAAGGACTTTGTGACTATTCACAAATGTATAGACAATTTGCAAGTATGGAAATCAAATAAAAGCCATTTTGATTCAAACCTGATACATGTATATATGCCTCATGCGCAGATCGGGGGGGGGGGGGGGGGGGTTAACCCCCCTTTGAAATTTGCGGAGTTTTCTGAATGTACATGGTTAAGCAACTAAAAAATGACCTTGGAACCTCCTCCCCCCCCCTCCCCCCGAAAACGCGGACCCCTGTCAAGTTGATAGGAAGAGCTCCCCCCTCCCCCCGTTGCTAGATCGCTGCCTTGCGTCATAACCCGCACATTTTGTAGTAGCTAGCCCCGGTCTGGAGTCCGCATATAGCTCTCTCTCCTACTTGGCCAGAATGGGAGTCCGAGAGGATCTTATATTTTGGCAAGTGAGAAAGTTTCGATTCTTTTGTCAATTCGTGAATTTCGATGCATCTTCCCTTACCAAGTAGAAAGCGCTTCTTTTTCTGAACCAAACTGATTAAAGTCAGATCTTTGTTACGCTCCGAATTTCTGATCCTATGGTCGACTATCAGAATTTTGGAGCGTGTTACGCTCCGAATTTCTGATAGTCGACCATCAGAATTTTGGAGCGTAACAAAGATCTGATTTAATCAGATTGTTTTTGAATAAGAATTTCCGATACTTATATTTTGTTCTCTTGATTGAACCGTAAAAATTGAAGTATTCTTGTTTTCACCATAAAAAGTATTTCCCGCCAAAACACATGCTTGCTCTATTATACGCAGATGTCATCAGAAATATAAGGGCGGATGTAAAGACTGCAAACACTAGCGCATTTAACTGTTAAGAGTTATGTGGTTATTGCGTGTCTTTTATAGAAGTAATGTGGGTTTTGCACTTATTTTTTATTTTCACAATTCAAAGGAGTAGCTCACGAAAAAAATCTTAACTTCAATTACTTTAAGGCGACATAAATTTAAAATTTAGATTCTCATCCTAATTTGCTAAAAAAGTGGGGCGGGTGGGCTGATTTTATTTTTTATTTTTTAAAGTATCAACAAAACATTCGTATACGTAATTTTTACATTATGGTAATGCCAATATGAATAGATTTATTTATTGTTTCCATATTCTTTTAAATATCTACAGAAGATGCTTGTTAAAGAAAATTAAAATATTTCTAGTTTTATTAACAAATTATCAAGTACACAGATACCTGGATACGGCACACGCCAAACAAAATGAGGAGCTGATCCTAATAAATTGCATATGCATGTTTTCTCATCGGCCTTTCCCCATATACCTTATAGTTTTACCAACAACTCCTTCTGTTCTGTGTGATATACAGATATCACAGATTTCCACTGTCCTCATACATTCAATCGTTCTTGAGACTTGACATGTTCGACATTAAAATATATCACATTTGCAAAACAGGATTGTGTAAATCTGTAAAATATTCTACTGAAAAGCCTAGGCCTGAACAGTTTTAAGATTTAACATTTCCTTAACACTATTGTTCTCTAAAGTCTTTGGACTAATATGTTTTATTTTTTTTAATGCCAAATCACATACAACTGGAGATCGTTATTTAAAACTTGACCATGTGTATTTTCTTCGTCTGTTTTTACTTGGTTAAAATCTCTTTAAAAACTTGTTAGTGCCAGTGATGGTATCTAGATGTGTTTATATGCTATTTTTGCTTTTCTGCCTTCTCTTTACTGACAAAATATCTTTTCCTTGCATATTTAAACTGCTTTTATTGCCGATTTTTCTCCATTCTTCACATAGGTCTTTTGCTATAAATAGCGCCACGCGACTTTTAATACAGACGGGAGATAACTCTTAAATTTTGACCCAGATTCTTGCTGAATAAAAATACATGAAAATAATATGTTTGGCACCTAAAAAGCAAAATAAAAAACAACGGGGCGGGGCACTTTGAGAGGGGCGGGCGGGGATGAGAATCTAAAGATTAATTTTACCTGGCCTAATAATTTGTCACTTTTATAAAAGTCCTTTTCAGGGTCCCTATTTCCCAGTTACAACTAAATATTCTTGAAGAGGACGTGGGGGTGTTACAAAATGACTATCCAGCTGATAACCAATATCAACCGATTTGTCATATCAATGTAAATAATATTTATCAATAATATTCATCGGTGCTTTCATTCAAAATATGTCAGTACCAGCTAGGCCCATAGAACGCGGGGGGGGGGGGGCACTTTTTTTCTGAGAATAGGATTCTGCTATAGTAATTTTTCATTTAGATGGTGGTTGCCCCACCCTTTTTTTGTTGCTGTAAGGTCGAGCACTGGCAAATTCCTAAATTTGGACAGTTTTTTTTTTTTTGGTCAGATTATATTTTTGGAAGTTCCCCCACTCCCACTTTTGAAATCGTTGCTACAGGCCTGAGCACCAATATTTGCTTCTTATCATTATCAATGAAAATTTCAATAATATTCATCCGTCGTTGTTTTTATTCAAAACATGTACCCTTTAACAGTTAAAATAATGTGTGTGTGTGTGTGTGTGTGTGAAAAAGTTAATATTAAACTTCCTCTTTAATATTTACCGCTTGATTTTTCCAGCAGCGAAAAATGGTATTTACGGTGTGAATTTAACGGAGGGAAACTTCCTTTTTAAAAAAAAAACAAACAAAACATATATCCATGCAGTAAAACCGCTTAGTCATCAGTCTGAATTTCTCTGTCAAAATTTTAAGAGAAATAAGTCGTAGGTTTGCACATGCTGTATGAAATGCAGCAATATGTGCACATAAGAAAGAAAAGAAACGCACACACACACGCCAGAATAAAGCAAATTTATAGATCTATACATAAATCCGATTATTGAGTATCAATGCATATCGGATGTTGTAAGCATGGTATACCTACCAAGGAATGGAGCTCACGATAATTTATCATATGTATATGTACGTGACATGCAAGGAAATAATAGCTGGGTTTGATTTATTCTTCATACACGCGCACAGGAAGTGTTTTTATTTGTTAAATAAAAACTTAGGTGTGTTCATGAAGCATGGAAATCTACTTTTTGTAATGTATGCAAATCACAAAACGGTTTCAAGGTAATAAATAACTGGTGACTGTGAAGAGCGCTTCATATTTCCTCAAGAACCTTTTCTTTTTCTTTAAGAGATGCTAATTTCCTTCATTTTTTTTTCGAAGTTGAAAGTCTGAATCTGAAAAAAAAGTTCGCGAATAATAAAACCAAGTACTGCACTCTAGTCCATCCCAACTTTTGAACCTTGGTCTCTGCGCTATCGTGTCAGCATTCACGGGCTTGTCCCAACGGATAAGGCGCAGCGAAAGTCAGGTCGGGGGAAAAATCGATAGATCTAACTTGCTTGCATGGTTCATAATGAAGACTAACTCCGTGGGTCTGGCGTATTAAAATCAATATTCGCTCCGTGGATCAATAGAATATTTTTGTGAAAGCGGCTTTACTTCGACAGTAATGCGACCCGCAGGTTTTGCCATTCAATATCCGTTCGTGAACTCGCTCTGCCCTGGCGCAAAAATTATTTTTGGACCCACTCCAAACCAGAAATTGCACACACATGTCTCGCGTCTGGGGCACGGGTTCCAAGTATTTTAATATTATAATAGGTAAAATTGTCTTCATTTAATAAAAAAAATGTTTTTAAAAAAAATTCAAAAGCTTTTTTATAAAAGATCCGTCGAAAACACTTGAGACAAGTCACATCCCGGTTTTAAGAGTGTCACTCCACGGTATAAAGTCTACGTAATCTGTTTAGTGTGGAGTAAACACCCCCGGTTGTATTCGCCAAAGGAAAACGACCTTCGCCAGATAATGTGGTCGAGCCGCATTATACCATCCACGCCCTGCAGGGGAAATACGTCACAAACCATACGGTGCCTACCCACGACAACAGTCATTCACGTGGGGGTCGCCGGCCAATCAGGGGCTGGGAGACCTATACACGAGGAGCGCGTGACGTTTCAATCCTTTTATAGCAGTCACCCTATTTACTTTATCGACCCCCACCCTGCCGACAAGTTTCTAGGGTCGGGATTTTTCACATACTTAGGACAGAAGTCCCCATTGTGAAGTTTGGCACACTAGACAAGGTAGGGAAATCATATGAACCGTCAGATTATCTGGGAAGTTGTCGTCTGTTTGTTATCTGTCTGGACTCACGCACCCCCAGGGTCGGCGAGACAACGAAACGTGGGCACACCATCCAAAAGGTGGTAGATAAAATTGTCATTGTTTTTGGAATTTTCTTTCAGCTTTATTTATTTTGTGTGTGGAATGTTATTTATGTTTCAATCGTTAATTTTCCTGTTAATATTTTGTGTCAGCGAGAAGTGGGGATTTTGACGACACAGGGAAATAAAAATCAATGTGGGTGTAGCGTGTGTGAAGGGAAGCCATGTTTACCAGAGTGAAGTGAGGCTCACAATGGGGATATATTTTGCTTGTTTTAAAATCAAAAGGGGTTATTTTTTTAACGTGTAAAGGCATTTGTATGTTCTTTTAAAGAAGCAGATAGGCCAAAAAGAGATTTCATTTTTAAAGTAAGCAAGTGTCACTTTTGTTTTTTTTTTTTTCTTGTCACTTTGCTAACAATTTCTCTCAAAATTTTCTAATATTAAAAAGGGGAGGGGGAAGTTGCTTAATTATGAGGGTGTGTTTGAATTTTTTTTTTTAATAAAGGTAGCATAATTTGTTAGATTTTTAACAGTGAAATACTGCAATTTATTACACATTCAAATATGTGTTGTTGTTTTTTTTTGTTTGTTTGGTTTTTTTTTTTTTTTTTTTACATATTTCATTTTATTCAACCCCCACCCCTCTCTTGGTTAAGTTTCAGCGAAATTAGGCATTCATCTTAGTGAATTTGTACAGGTATGTGTGTACATGCCAATATGAGAAAAAAAAACACTAAAACAATTTTTTTTGAGTAGAATTCTCTGAACATTTCAAAAATAATCTGGTCCATTAATACTAAAAGAAATTAGCCAGAGCATCAACTTATGTTAGGATTATGTAAGATTTGAAATAAAAAATGTTTAAAAGATTAAAAAAAAATTACAGTAATTGTGATTCTCACAAATCAACTTCAGACAATTTTTTTTAACTTCATTTTTTCCCTTCATCTGTGCCAAATTGTTGAAGACTTTTTTTCCCCCTTACGAATTGGAAAAGGAAAGCACAGCAGCAGTTAAAAACCCTCAAACTGTAAGCCACAGAGAGATTCTTTACAGTTAGATAAAAAAAATAAAGAATCTTAGAAAGCTGCCTGCAATGTAAACTGACACACCCAATCAGATAGGGCAAAAATGAACTCAAATGTCTAGAACAAGAAAGCTGTAGGAATACAAAGAAAAATTCAATTTCATTGAGAGATTAAAAAAAAAAACTTGAGGCTTAAAAGGGGGGGGGGGGGCATTTTCTTTGTTCATATTTTTGCTTATGAGCAAAAATTAATCTTTGCCCTAAATGTTGGAAAAGCAGCCAGGTATATGAGTTAGAGACTCAGCATAGTACTAGCTTTTTTTGGCAGATCAAGTTAATTCGGTAGTAGAGAAATTAAGTCCAAATATAGGAGCATTGTATGTTGGAAATATATATCTTTGTTTCATCATGATACTTACACTACTAGCCTTCATTACTGATTCATGCAAGAGGTACAGTGATGTAACTGGCACTACCATTACAAATATAAAGTATCATAGATACAGTATATAAACTACTTTTAAAATTTTCAAGAGTATTACCAGAGATATTTTTAAGCATTTATAATATACATTTAGTAAAAGACAGAAGTTTGACAGTGGCTGAGGTAAAAGTTAAAACCCTTATATGTAAACTGTTGATCAAGAGTTTGTTAACCTAATACTGAAAACCACAGAGCTATCTGAACAGAAAACCACCACATAAAGACCATTCAGTGTGTGTATAATTAATTTATCAGCAATTTAATCTGCGAAGTAGAAATTTTTAAACATTCTCAAACTACATGTTGTATTAATAACCAGCTTCTAATACTGAGAGTCTTCACAAATATAATTTGTTGTAATTTGAAAAAAAAGTATTGCTTCAGTGAGTAAGTCATAAAATAATAGAATCAATGATTTTATTTTCAGTGTGAGGTTAGGGCAGCATGTCCTCTATCCAGCCGGGGAATGCCTCAGAGTGGCAGCTCTACCGCGTTCTTCAGAGGAGTAATTTACTACAGTATTACGACACATTTATAGCACAGGGTAAGACAGGCCAGAATTAGGTCAAGGAGACTAAGGGTGACCTTGACCCATCCAATTATTCTTGGGAAATTGATGTTTTTCTAACCCTTTTTGTAAATTAGACTCAAAAACACATACAGTGTGATTTTCACTGTGAATTATTATGTGCATGGTTTTGTTGAAAAGTATTTTATATCTTGATTTAAATGCTCAAAGTGAAAGGAAAGTGGAAAGTAAATTAGGATTATAACATGATGTATTGAAGTGTGACAGAGTTTTGAGCATGTGTATAAGGGTGTTGGTAAGTGATAATGAGAACTGAGGCAAGGGTTGTGATAATTACCAGGATGTCCCCGGCAAGATGTGGCTGGATCCTCTAAGCCCTGACTTCCTGACATCTGTAATGATCATATCTATATTTATAAGGTCTGTCCTGTATATCTGACCTCCAATGGATTTCCTCCTTATGGTGGGGAATCAGGATGTAGGAGGTTTGTGACACGGACGGACTGGAAGTGGGGAAATGAGGGGTTGAAATGTTTCCTGCTCACAAGCCACAGACTGGTGAAATCAAGACGCAAACAATCATATACATATTTGTAATTGGTCACATAAGAGCTGAGATGTGGTATCAGTTCTACAGCTGTTAATTTTATTGATTTTACTGGTAGTTTACTACACTTTAATGTAACAAGTTTTCTTTTGGTCAGACATTCTTTTCTTTTATAAAACATTTTTCGTGTTAGTCTTTATAAGATATCTTGTCATCGCTTTTCCTCCTACATATTTAGAGGTATCCTAAAATTGTTTTAGCATATGGTTGCTCTGGTCCTGTAGATATGTAGTAAGGTTTTGAAATTTTGATTTTGACCCCATGGGTTTCAAGGGGTCTACAAAGATGTGATTCAAAAATTAAGCGAGTCGATAGAAGTTTTCTTTAATACATTTTAATTGTTAGTGAAAAAAACCTTTTGCATTTTGAATAGCAATGGTTTGTGCAGGGTTGAATACTATTTAAAAAAAAAAATAAAATACTATGATAAAATACCAGTATTTTTGAATTGATATATGGTAAATATATATAATACATGTATCTAAGTATAATTTAATTTTGTTTGTATTCTAGCCTCTGATTGGTTAATATCCAAAAAGGAACACAAATTATTTCTGTATAACCTGGTTTGGTATGGGGACACACCCCCCTGACAACCAGCTGAATCGTCTGTATCCATGCAATCCTCTCATTTCCAGTCCTCGGGATTCATGGAAAATTCCAGATTTAATAAATGTACCTTTAACTTCAAACGGTAACTCGGATCTTACCACATGTAAACAAAAAACATGGCTGCTAGGACTATGTATCAGTTTTTACCTCCCCTTGCTTCCCATCACTTCCGTTACTAGGGTTGTATTATTGAGCGGCAAATTTGAACTAATAAAAAGCAACGAAATTTTACACCCAGAGTTGTTTAATGATTTTAGAATTAAATTATAAGGAATGACTCTAATTCTTGGCCAAATTATTCGAGGATAACCTGGTTTGGGTCAGTTTACGCTGTTTTATAATCCGCTTCGCGGATTATAAAGCGTAAACTGACCCAAACCAGGTTATCCTCGAATAATTTGGCCAAGAATTAGAGTCATTCCTAAAATATGACATTGTAGCAAATAAGGTGATTTCAGTACAAATGTTAACATATTTATTAATGACTTTATAATTTCTGATTTTATTTAAGCTTTACTTTAAATATTGTTTACATTATGTCAACAGAAGTCACACATCCGATTTGGTATTTTTGGCCTTTATAATGTCATTTCTGTTGAGGTCATGACCCTAGGACCTGTTATTCAAAATGGTGCCTGGTAAACATCGGTACTTTGAATGAGATGTAAACAATCAATAAAGGCATGGTTTTTCAAAACTATCAGGTCAACTGAAAGAAAAAAATATTTATAACTAAGGTATGACTTACAAAATGAAACAGTATTTCAAATTTATTTACAAAACGGACACGATCAAATTAGGTTAAGAACTCATAGACTTCCGAGGATCTATATATTGTTAACATTTACCAGTGATTTTAAAATCACTACTTAGTGCAGTTTGAATACCAAGTACCCGGTACATGTACCAGTGTCCAACCCTAGTCGTGGATTTACCCCAGGTCTACCGATTGGCTCAAAAGGATGTGGTTCCTTATGAAAGTTTGTCAGAAGAACTTTATACATTTGAGGTTTTAAAGAATTTATTCTGCTGTTATTGATGCTTTGATTGCAGAAGTGCAATAAGTTTTTTTTTTGATTTAGAATTTTCAGATTAAAATCTTACATCAGGGTGATTTCAGGTAGCTATAATTCCTTTATATTGATCAGGAATTGCAACAAATGTGCAAGATTGATCAATGAAATTAAGGCTGTTTGAGCAGGTCAGTTTCCAAGTGGATACATGTCTTAGAGTGACCAACCTTGCATGGGTTACATCACAAAGAATATTTTGCTTCAGATGCTGTACCAATTGATAAATGATTCAAAGATTTAGTTAATATAAATCATACATTGATCAATTTTTTTTTGTATGTATTGCACCTGGGGATGCACATTTGATTCAGTAATGATGCTTCAATACTGCATGTGATCTATATTTCCATGCTACATGGCCATAAAACTTAGATGAGCTCACCTTTGATCTCAGTCTCACTTTTCCATTATATATTCCTTTTATAAAAGTGAGACTGAGATCAAAAGTGAGCTCATCTAAGTTTTATGGCCCTGGAGCCAGATGATTGATCAGGATAAAATTTCTTAAGGAGGTCCATTTTAATTCGATTACATGTCCAGCAATGACCAATCTTGCAGAGATACAAGTTTAGGGAATGCACACAACCAATTCATGTTTCAGACTGCTTCTGACTCACATTTTACATCTGAATTATCTTGTGAAAGCTTTTTTGAGACTGTATTCTTTAAGTACTTATTTTTCAAGCAGTGACAAGTCTTAACATTTGAATTTGAATCTATGCTACATACAGAATCTTTCATTAGCCAAGTGGATCTCAAAAACTTAAAAGGGAATTTTTTATAAAGAGTCAAACAGAAGAGTGCAGTATAATGACTATTACTAATAAAGCTTCTACTTTTTGTAGTCATGCATGGTAAATTAGATTCATTAAAATGAAGTTTTTCCTTTTTTTTCCCCACCAATTGTTGATAACCAGTCTCTGTGACTTTTTTGACAACAGCTTTTTGGGATGACATGGATTTACAAGCCAACCAGTTTTAACCAGCCCAATTTTGTGTATTTTTGGACATTGAGGAAATTGTATGGTATAAAGATTTGAATATTTGAGTTTTATCTGTTTCATTTTTAACATAGGGTACACAACATCCCCCCCCCCCCCATTAAAAATGTTTAAAGACTAAGTATAGATGAACAGAAATCACTGTTGCTTACTTAGATGGGGGATATACATGCAAATAAAGTATATAATTAATATATCTTGGTTTAATAAAATGTTAAGAATTTCTAAATTAATAACTGCCTAAAAATACTATGAAAATTGAATTCTTTAATGTGCAGTGTATAGAGGGTTCTTAATTTGAGTCATTAAGCAACTTAGTCATTGTCGGTGTTATTCCAAAAAAAGTGCAAAAGGTTTAAAAATTGTTACATTAGATCAGTTTTAATCTCAACCTCTTTCGTACTACTTTAGGAGCAGCATATTTGTTTTTCGTATGGTCATTGAGCTTATTCTCAGAAAGGCTTAGCAGCACTTATGCAAGCCTGAGTTAGATATCAGGTTGGTGTTTTTTGCACAAACCATGTGAGATGCTGAAAAAAAATATGGTGTCCATATTTGCTGAGGAAGGTTTTGAAAAAAAAATTGGGAATGTGGAGAGCTGGTCTTTTGTGATAAGCTGGCTATATTCATCTTGGCATACTGCTCTATTTTATAAATAGTTTACTGGTGATAACTTGATGGCTTTTGTTAAACAAGAAAGTAAAGTAAGTTAGATTGATGCTAGCTATCTGTCTAGTGTCTATAATGCATGCTACTAGTGATTTACATCCAAATACACAGTAAAATAAAATGTAATATGTGTGCTTCCATTCCATGGTGGACAGCCTTTTTTTAACTGCTTATTCTGTCCATGTCATGATGAAACTTGTAAGCAGATTAAATGTATATACACATGTATTGTATTTGCTAGTATAACCACACCCTCAATAAGTTGATACTAAGATCTTTATCCAAAAGCACAAACCACAGATATGTTAAAGGTCTATCCATTTAAAATAATGACCCATTCCCCCTTCCAAATGAACCATGAAAATTCTTAATAAATTTTGCATTTTAGATCTTCTAATGTAATTTTTTTTTTTATTGATTGACTTTGTTAGCTCTTCTGAGCCAAAGGCTCAAAGAGCTAATGCTATGGCCATTTGTGCGGTGTGCGTAAACTTTTTAGAATATAGGCCATAACTCAAGAACCCCTTGGCCAATTATTGTCAAATTTGTCACAGGGTATCCTTGGCCCAAGGGCTCCCTTTTATACTAAAACTGGGGTTGTGACCCTTTAACAAGGGGAGATAATTAGGAAAATAGAAACAAAAGTACTGGTTGCTAAAAAATCTTCTTCTCAAGAACCACTGGGCAGATTATCACCAAACTTACACAATAGGATGAGGATATGTTGTAGATTAAAATTTGCACGGGGATTTACCCTGGGGCAAAGGGCGTGGTCTCAAGGTCACTTCAAAGTTGACCAAAAATTACATTTTATTAAAATGTTGATATTTTGCTTACTATAAGGACTAGGATCATCAAATCTTGTCAGTTGGTGCATCTAAGGACCTCATATCATGTTGACTCAAAAGTAGGTCACGGTGACCTACTTTTCAAATTTTGCGGCCATTCTTTTTCATAATGATTTAGAGGCATATTTTGAACAATTTAAGGCCTATGATCATCAAACTTTGTCAGTTGATGCATCTTGGGTCGTCAAAGTACGTCACTTAAAAAGTAGGTCACCTTGACCTACTTTTTGAATTTTATGGCTAATCTTTTTTAAAACAATTAAGGTCATTAATTCGAATACGGGGAGGCTTAGAATCATTAAATCTTGTAAGATGATGCCTCTTGGGGCCATAAAACATATTTATTAAAAAGTAGGTCACCATGACCTAGTTTTTGAACTTTGCAGGCATTCGATTTCAAAGCGTTTTAGAGGCATAATTTGGACATTTTAAGTCCTATGATCATAAAACTTTGTAAGTTGATGCATCTTGGGTCCTCAAAAAAGGTCAACTGAAAAGTAGGTCACCTTGACCTACTTTTCAATTTATATGACTATAATTAAATATTTCAGGTACTAATTGGCTTAGAATCATCAAACTTTGTCAGTTGATGCATCTTGGGTCTTCGGAGTAGGTCGACTAAAAAGTAGGTCACAGTGACCTACTTTTGAAAATTTATGGCGTTAATTAAATATTTTGGGTACTAATTGGCTTAGAATCATCAAACTTTGTCAGTTGATGCATCTTGGGTCTTCAGAGTAGATCGACTAAAAAGTAGGTCACCATGACCTACTTTTGAAAATTTATGGCTTTAACTAAAGATTTCGGGTACTAATTGGCTTAGAATCATCAAACTTTGTCAGTTGATGCGTCATGGGTCTTTTGAGTAGGTCGACTAAAAAGTAGGTCACCGTGACCTACTTTCTGAAAATTTATGGCTTTAATAAAATATTTCGGGTACTAATTGGCTTAGAATCATAAAACTTTGTCAGTTTATGCGTCATGGGTCCTCGGAGTACAACAACTGAAAAGTAGGTCACGGTGACCTACTTTTGAAATTTTATGGCTGTATTTAATATTTTCAGGAATTATTTGTCTTAGAATCGTCAAAATTTGTCAGTTGATACATCTTTGGTCCTCGGAGTAGGTTGACTGAAAAGTAGGTCACTGTGACCTACTTTTGAAAATTTATGGCTGTAATTAAATATTTTGGGTACTTATTGGCTAGAATCATCAAACTTTGTCAGTCGATGTATCTTTGGTCCTTGGAGTACAGCAACTGAAAAGTAGGTCACGGTGACCTACTTTTGAAAATTTATGGCTTTAATTAAATATTACAGGTACTTATTGGCTTAGAATCATCAAACTTTGTCAGTTGATGCATCTTGGGTCCTTGGAGTAAAACAATTGAAAAGTAAGTCACTTTGACCTACTTATAAAATTTTATGATTATAATTTTAAAAAATATTTTAGGTATTAATTGGCTTAGAATCATCAAACTTAGTTGATGGGTCCTCAGAGAATGACAAGTGATAAGTAGGTCACCATGACCAACTCTCAGGTACTAATTGGCTTAGAATCATCTTGGGTTCTCAGAGTGTGAATTGGAATTTCAAGGGTTTATGTAAATATACAGGATACTTCGAGGCTTCAAATAGAAGTGATAGGTTGTACAGTTTATCAGAAGAGCGATTCAAGGCCCATGGGCCTCTTGTATAATAAAGACTTGGTAATCGTATGATTTGTAGAATTGAGCCGGCTCTATGAATGATAATAGTGTATGTAACTGTTACAGTAATACTGATTAATTATAGGTGGAGATGATGTACAGCAGTTGTGTGAAGCTGGGGAGGAAGAATTTCTGGAGATCATGGCTCTGGTTGGAATGGCCAGTAAACCCCTCCATGTACGGCGGCTACAGAAGGCTCTGCAGGAATTTGTACAAAATCCGGGTAATGAGAAACTTCTGGAGCCAAGGAACTAAACCTGTTATATGTAGCTTCAGTATTTCCAAAACTTAATCTCCAGTTGACATTTTGTTGTTGTGGAAGTTTTAATGAAAATTGTACTGACTTGTGAAGAAGTATAGTATATACCTGTTCAGAATCGATAAAATAAACAAACATGTTCTTTTTCCCTTCAGCATCCTTTCAGAGCTCTGTTTCTCCAGCATCTGCCCTTGTGGCATCCCAGACAATCACTACCCCCTCATCACACCTGGCTACCATGGTAACCACAGTCCCTAAGATAGAGTCCTCCCAACCTGTGTATCCAACAGTTACAATGACCAATAGTTCCTCCACGGCGGGGTGGGCCCCAAGTGTCAGTCCAGGACCGACCACTACCAACTCCAACTCATCTCACGAAAGTGACAGCAAAGAACTGTCTGTAAGTCTGGTCTAAAAGGAAGTTTTTCATGTCTGTAAGTGGTACTTAGATACTATCAGTGAGTGTTCTACAAAGAAGGTTGCCCCCTTCCAAAGACTTGTCATTTAAAAAAAGTTTTGTCTTTTACAGAGCCAAAATAATTTTTGTCTTTTTTATTGGAGAGAAATATAGCTATTTGAGATCCATTCATAAGTCATGTGTCTATATATTATTAATTAAGTCCTAACACAGCACAACTGTGATTTGTAGAAAATGTCCGTGTACCAAGAACCTTTATTTGAAATATGGTATATATGTAATTAAAACAAAATGCATAAAGGCATTATTTTGCATTTCTACAATTGATTTGCAATATGCTTTTTGAATTAGGATTATCACAGACTAAAGCCAACACTTGAGGACAACCATAAAGAAAGATGTATGGTTTTAGAAGGGGGTGGGTGGGAGATAGTTGTAGATAATCTTAATCGTCTACCAGTATATTAGCTAAAAAGTACAGGGTGTCTGAAAAGAAAGGTAACAATCATTTAAAACCAAATCTCATGCCAAATTTAATTGCTTAGTTTCTTGTAGTATATACATGTCTTTATTCACACCACATTTATTTAGGATGTACAAAGCACATTTTTGGCCCCATTAATTCTTATTTCCAGTACCAAATGAAAAAAATTTGCCATTGGTGATATTGTCAAAAGGCAGCCTGAACACTGATTGTCCACTTGTTTTCTGAAATTTTTTTAAAAAGATTTTTCTAGATCTATGAATGCCATGTCATGTTTTTCATGATCTGAGAGTTATAATCTTAATGCATACTATAAAGGGAAAGAACTCTTTTTTAGATACAGACAGACAAACAGCAAATGAGGTCCTCCACATCTCCGACTCCTACCCCCATTCTGGTGGAGAGTCAGATAAATGCCATCGCTCAGGCTGCAGCCAGACTTGCCAAAGAGTTACCTCCCTTTGATATGAAGAAACTAAACATGAAGAAACCTATTAACAAAGAAATTATGGTATGTTGAAGAACAACAAGATAAAGAAGTTCAAAATATTTACTTATGAAGCAATTATTTACAAATATTACTTATCTTTTTGTCGTAATTGTTATTGAAGAAAAGTACATTACTGAGATTTTTAGACTGTATACATATAGCAACTATTGAAAATTATTATTTTTCTGAAATACTGCTCTTTATCTTTAATGATATCAGTATAATTTAACTTTAGATTGTTGGGATGGAGGTTAGATTTTTTACAGACTAATTTTAATATCACATACTTGGGAAACAAATAAAGAGTCACTAATTAATTGGGTCTGGTTTTAATTACAGCAATTAATCAACAGTATATCAGAGGATGATCCTAATAGAATGGAGCAGTTACGAAGATATGCCGCAATATATGGTCGCTTTGACTCTAAGCGGAAGTCGGAGAAACCAATGTCTTTACATGAGGTATACATGTAGCCAAAAAAACTGATATTAACTGCATTTCAGTTCACAGCATTGTTCATGCAAATTGGTTGATTGGGTAGAAATAAACTTTGAAATTTCTGTTTTATCAGATCTCAGTAAATGAAGCAGCCGCCCAGCTCTGCAGACATATGCCCTCACTGTTAACAAGGAGAGAAGACCTGTTCCCATTGGCTCGTCAAGTAGTTCGTGACAGTGGTTACCAGTACTCAAAGGGACATTCCAGGTAGGTGTTTTATTGATTGCATTTGATTTAGTACCCCAAGCCTTCAAATCAATACTGAAACAGTTTCAGATTATCAATAATATTATGAATGATGTATTATTTACTCCAAATCCCCCCAAAATGCCGCACATTGGAATGCCATCTTGTAGTGCATAATGATATGAATTTGTCAAGAGGAAAATTCCATGAAAATATGACATGATACGCTGTCTTATAATTCCTATGTAGGGTATTTATCAATTCTCAAGGTGAGCAAAACAGGATCAGGCCTAAAGTAATTTAGTTTCCATTCTTAATACAGAAGAGGGGGTTGAGGGATGTACATTGTATAGAATGAAAGGAATTATTTTGCATGTTTTACTCTTTCTCTATGGATAAAGGGAGACAACTTACAATCAAACCTATATGTGGCTAACCAGAAAGTACCTTAGGTGACAAAAAAATGTTGAATGTTAATAAACTAATAAAGCATGCCAGGTTAATTGGTTATTGTGTTAATTAGACACCATTACTATGTTTGTTTGAGTCTTTTATTAAAATTTTCTTTTTGTTCAAGTGATTTTTAAAAAAAAAAAAAATTTTGTATTCAAAATGACTGATTACACTGAGAGAGTACAATATTGTGATTTGCAATATTTTTCTGCAGTTTTTTTTTTTATTTTTTCTATTTCTGTGTTTCTAGTTGCAGTTAATTTTTTCTCAGTAGGTTACTGTATTTCATTTTCCTTTCTGTTATGTTTTATTTTTATAATTTTGAAATCAGTTTATGACCTCGAGGTTGTAAAACTTCTTGGAGTACAAACTTGTGCTTGTACCCTGTTCTCCAAATCAAATTCATACTCCATCAATGTTGGAAATTGGAGGCTGTGCTCTTAACAGAGTTGAGTTCAACTCGATCCAGCTGTTTTATGACCATGAGCTTCTAAGTGGAATGGAACTTTTTGGAGGCTAGAGTACAAGTTATGAGTGGAGTACAATAGCAGGTTTATTACCTCGGGGTCTGGTAAAAGATTGACCAAATTATGAAATGATAAGAATATACAAATTGTAAGTCTTTTCCCTAGTACTTTTAACCCAGATTTAGGGGGACAGTAGTATGAATTGGACAATTTTTTGTACTTTGCAGGGCATCAGACATGTTAACTCTGCCTTCAACCAAGAGGTAATTAGTTTTGTTTTCACCTGTTAATTTCTCTCATTTTCATCAGTCATATTTGAATCATCTGTTTATCCTCTCACTCTCTGATTTCTGTGCACAGTATACACCTACATATATAGCTATGTATTACTGTGTGTGTGTTTTGTGCGTGTGTTTGGCAGTTACTTATCTCCCCTGGATCAACCCAACACCTCCCACCTGTAATAGAACATAAAATACTCGAACTATTTCTAATCTTAATCTCATTTTCACTTTGCCATCTATAAAGCTTTTTAACACAGTCATTTAAAACAATTTCTTCTTTCTTGATAAAATTCTTTAAAAAAAAATCCCAAATTCTGATTTATTACCATAATTTTTTCCATGCTGATAGTAAATTAATCATGGGGATGTGTTGGTATTTGATCAAAGATGGCATTCCCCACTAAACTGCTTTTTCTTCCCTTTCTTCTCCTTTCTCCTGTGGGTAATCTCTGTGGCTCTGCTTACGTTATAGATTGAATGACCTGATGTTAAGTGGAGTTTCGGGGGGATCAAGTGGGGGGAAGAAGAAGTTAGACAGTGGTTTCCTACAGATGTATGTCAATCTTTGTGAGAGTAATCCAAGCATGGTCAAAAACCCAGAGGACTCGGTAAGCATTTTATGTAGTGTATTAATTGGGTGTTTGTAGAGTTAAATTTAAATGTGGTTTTATTTATAAAAAAAATTGATTCTATTTTCAGAGTATGCATTAAAAAATTGTATATTTCTATTTTACTACAATTTTAAATCTCCTCTATCTAATAAAGTCTTACATACAATTGTTAGATTTTAAAAATGTAATAAGTACATGTACAGTTGTAGCTACTCCAGAATTAGTCCATTAATGAACAGATATTTTACAGGAAAAAATGACTCGTTTGATGGCAGAGTTAACTGTTGTTACTCACAACCAAGAAATGCTCAAAACTCAATTAAATACGGCAAAGGAAAACAACGATATGGACCTAGTGAACTCACTACAGAGCCAAATAGAACAGGTCACCGCACAACAGCTCCAGCTGTACACAGAACAGAGTGAACTCATCCGTAAACAGAGGAGGTAGGTCAAAGGTTAAAGAGTATATCCTCACAGTTACAAAAGCATTTTAAAATGTTGTATTTTCATTACTTGTTAGTAGTCGTAGTTCAGATGGCTGATTTATTTGACAGACTTTGTTCAGAATTATGCTTATATAATTTCAGGTTCACTATGGGTACAGGATTTGATGAGGATACAGGTAAATGCTACATTTTTTGGTTTGAAATTTTCATATTTTACAATTTTTTTTAATTTTGAGTAATTGTAAAATTCTGTATTTCATGTATTGTATGACAGGTCTAATACTAGTAAGCTGATGAATTCTGTAAGACATTTAACATTTCTCAGTAGCTACATGTGGCTCATGTTTATGTAAACCAGGTGACTGAAAGCTAATGAAAATAAAATTTTTGCCTAATTGTATGAATGATTTGGTAGGTTGTTTTTGCAGCTTGCTTATTTAATTTTTTTTTAGGTTCAGATTTTCCAAGTGGAGCTTCATCACCAAACAATTCTGGAGATGGTGAGGATTTCAATCAACAGATCAGACAACATCTATATGCATCTGGGGAGATCTTAAAATCCAAGCCAGCCATGCAAAACACATTATTTGATGAAGGAATGCGAATAGCACAACAGTTTGGATTGGCTGATTTTGCAGAGGAATTAAAAGGCATGGCCGACACAAGCCCGGAGGACGAAACAAAGGAAATTACAGACCCTGTGAAAAGGAAAGCAGACTCTTTAAATGATGGTGAAAATGGAGACTCACCAGCGGAAAAAATGTCTAAAAAGTTGAGAGCTGAGGTGAATGGAAGGGAGGAAGAAGAAGAAAATAGCTAATTGTTGTTTTATCTAGATTGTTATACATTCATATATCTGTTGTTATAATTGTCTCATTTTGTTTTCTTTGTATACCTTTGGCAAAGGTAAAGGAAGGTAATCAAATTTATCATTAATCATGTCATTATAAATGTGATGCCAACTTTCTGCAAGCTGACCGTTCATCATTCTTATTTAATGCCAATGCACTAACTGTCATAGTTATTGTACACAACAGTTATCTCCTCAAACAAATCATTTAAATTCATGGCTGTGACTTGCTTGTGTTCTATATTTTGTTCAGTATTTTATCCTTGAAGGGGGTCTCAATTGTTCATATTCATGAAAATATAAGAGTTCATTTTCAACCAAAGGATATGGATTAAATACTATTATTCCACATAGTAGTGTTTTTCATGTTATTTGCAATACCGATAATTATCTTTGGGACTGTAAATTTAAAAGACAACACAAAACAGAAAACTTAGTAGGAAAGATAAAGAAAATTATGCTATTATATAAGAGTCAATAGTTGCTAAAATAATTCTGTGTTAATATTGATATATCTGATTGGCAAACATTATGGAGAAATGAATTGGAGTACTGTTCAATCAAATGTTTGATAATCATGTACTGATTTTGTGAATTGTGTGTTTGTTTTATGAACATTTTATTTTTGTGATGAAAGAAATCCTATGTTTAATATTCCTATTAAAGTAGATGATTGCCTACCGATTAAGAACTTTTAATTAATGTAATGATACTAATATAAGTATAATTCCAAAGGTGTATACATTATTTTATTGCCATCTAATGGTAAAGATTTCGTAGTTAAACAGTATCACTGTGTCTAACACAATAGGTCACTTAGGTTTGAAAAATGTTTCTGCAGAGTATGTGTTGTCACTCTTTTCTGCATTCAGATAAAAAATCATGACATGTACATGTATATCCACAACTGTTGTCAGGAGATGTGTTACTATTATTATTATTTATTTTCAATGTTTTCTTTTCATTAAAAAAGCCAGAAAGCTGATATATGTGTTATTGTAATTAGATTGTATGTGTACATGTAGTTGGATATATCTGTTCACAACTAAACAATGTTTAGTGTTTTAACATCAGTATAAGACGTGAAACTGAGAGTGTGTTTCTGCACTTGCACAAAATAAAGACTTGTTGTGCAGTGTTTATAAAAACACATAAACAGGTCAAGGAATCTACCTTATATGTATATTGTTTTTATGGCAGGCAGTGGTGCTTATCACGAACAGTTGACCAATCCGTTAAATGAATAGCAAAGCATGATGGTCTTCTGTATGAATCCATTTTATTACAAATGTGGTCCAGGTCAATTTATGACTGGACATTAAATGGAATGGGGAAAGGACAATTGAAATTCTTTTTCATTGTTTTTCTAAAAATACAAGGAATACGTACTAATGAAGATGTTACATGCTCATATTAAGAAACCAAGTAATCTGTTTGTGTGTTTCATGGTACGTTGAAATATCCATCAAAAATTCTTCACAAAAATTAGAATAACTAGTTCGAGCAAGCTTAGTTTTAAATGGCCAGCACATGACATCTTGGTCCAGGGAATCCATGTGAAATTTGTATTATTTTTTTTTTTTTTACAACATGGGAATATAAAAATTTGTAAACAAATTTCCTCAAACAATGGAATAGAGCATACAGAATTCTATGTTCATGAAACAGTTGTTTGTAAATGTGAGCATGGAAATATTAATCTGTTAAATGCATGGAATAAAAATTATGTCTTTTCAAGGACCAGTAGAAAATTTGGCCTATTCCAAGCGATAACTTTCTGAAGTATTCTTGTAGTAACCTATGATGCAATTAAACTTATTTAGCTCATTGGTCAGTGTGTAAGTCATGTTGGTGTCTCATTCAGCATGCAAATTTATTCTGACATCGGAAAATATAGTTTCCTTGACCTGTTAAAGTGTGAAGAAAGAGGCATGGGATGCTCTTCGTACTTGTTATGGAGAAAAATTAAGAACTTTCTGTTTATAACTTCCACATGTTTATATATATACCGGTAGTCACTCGGTGACTTTGAGCTTGTCCAAATGATCATCAGCCAAGGTCGTGACATATCCCCAGACTATTTACAATCTTCAAGATTTGTGCAATTTTGGTCTGATAGGGCTTCCAGTAAATGTATGCCAAATCCAGTATCTGAAGCAAGTTTGAGAATGTGCATCCTTTGATACATCATCCAAGCAAGTTTGGTTCAGATAGGCCCTATAGTTTCTTGGTAATGGACCTGCTCCAAAATCTTTAACCTTGTCACTCATCGGGAAAATGTATGATCCAGCATCCGAAGCAATTCAATAGTGTGCATCTTAGATGTATCATCCATGCAAGTTTGGTCTCTTATAGTTAGTTTGGCTTATAGTTCCTTGGAAATGAGACCTGCTCCAAAAACTTTAACCTGATCACTCATCCGGAAAATGTAGGTCAGATCCAGCATCTGAAGCAAGTCCAGTAGTGTGCATCCTTAGATGTATCATCCAAGCAAGTTTGGTCAATGTAGGGCTTTTAGTTACTTGGAAATGAGATCTGCTCCAAAATCTTTAACCTGGTCACTTATCCGGAACTTGTAGGTCAGATCCAGCATCCGAAGCAAGCCTGGTAGTATACATCCTTAGATGTAACATCCGTGCAAGATTGGTCAATATAGGGCTTATGGTAAAAGGTACTGCTCCAAAAACTTTAACCTACTCCAAAAACACTAAGCAGTCATTCTACGATAAATGGACCAATTCAGGGTATAAAACATGGAAAAAACAAGATGTGTTTGTGAAACACTATGCCGCCGATGGTAACACATTTCTGGAGTGGGACGTAGACTACAGTGCGATAGTTATGGCCAATGTTAAAAGTTTTTCAAATGTAGGTCAAAGGTCACAGTTGAGGTCACATGATCAAAAATTTCTGTATCAATGGAAAGGTCTTGTCATAATGAACACTTGTGTCAAATATTAAAGCCTTACCCTTGACAGCGCTATAGTTATGGGCAAAGTTAAAGTTGACAATAGACAGACAAACAGACAGACAGGACAAAAACAATATACTCCCGGGATATTTCGATCCGGGGACATAAAATAATTGTTTCAAATAGCAAAATGAACATTAATTTATAATTCTCTAAAGGACATATCAGTGAACTCGTTAACTTTTTACAACAATTTTAATATACCATTGATTTTTAAGGTAATGTTACGGAAGTTAATGCTTGAAAAGTCTTATTGTTTTCTAGATAAAGCTGAATTTGACAAATTTTTCGTTTCTGATGTTCAGTATATAACGCTAAAGTATGATTCATGAAGTCTCGCATGAATCCGAAATTAAGTTAAAATTTCGGGAAAAATATCGTTACGGAAGTTAATTCCCAGCAATAAAAGTTAAAATTCTCGGCAATAGTTAAAATTAAAGTTTTGTTTTAGGATATTAAACAGAAGTATGAAGCATTTCGCTCCCAAAATAATAAAAATCTTTATACCTTTAATGCAAAAACTTTCCTGAATTGCCGTTACGAAAGTTAAATTTTTAAGAGAGACAACTGTTTTTGTTTCATTTTGTTATGACGAAAATGTATTCGTCTAAAAAAGCTGACTCGCAACTAGATGCGATGATATTAGGTTCCGTGGTCACTTTCAGATAAGTTTCAGTTCTTTTTGAAATCTGCATTCTCATGATTCTGTGCGTGAAATTCAAAACAAAATCGTTACGGAAGTTAATCGAGATTTAGCGACCATGCTATAATTTCGCATGAAAGTAATCCATGCATTTCTTTGAGAGAAGTTGTTTGATTTCTTTTCATTTATGATGAAATTTTTTTCAACATTCATTACAATCTACAGTGTATTCGAAACGCTTTTACGGCTGAAAATTTCAAGATGAAGATTTAAATCAAACAACTTCTCTCAAAGAAATGCATGGATTACTTTTATTTAAACAAGTATTTTTTTTAACCATTCCTGTAAAAAGATTTTGAAAATTCAGCATTGATGTTGAAATTTTCCGGAAAAAATATTTCCCGCCGACCTGCCGACACAATTTTTTCATCCTGAGTCGGGAGAGGTCAAATAAACATTATTTTAAAGTTGGCCACATCTTCGTTGAGGTGAGCAAAAAATATATCGTTTAATACAAGATGAACGAGTTTAAATGTTTTGATTATTGCGATAACTTGCGTGCCCACCAAATTTGACCAAAATTCTACTACGATTATTGCCGAGATCAAAGAAATGCCGCGGACATTATTCTCCAATAAATCACGAACGTCATCAAAAAATTATCAGATCAGAAACACATGTCAAATCTGTTCAGTTGAAATAAATATTTTACTGTATAATCTAATACTTATTTAGACCACATCGATGTGTCGTCTTCCGCACTCTAAACGTGTGTATTGCCTGGAACAGCTGATAAATATCCGTTTTTATAGCCAAGTGGGGCTGTTCTACGGACCTCCCCACAACATTTACACTCCCGTGATTTTACTGATAAATCAATGAAATAGACAACTGGTTTTATTATTTTTCATTCATAAAAATTAATCAACATATGTTACAAGCAAATTTATAAATAATTAAAGGATATTTTTAATCCAACAAAAGCTGAAATCGTCTGCATTTTATGCAATCGATTGACCCTTTGGTGTTAAATGGAACAGCGAAATTGCGACATGGTGACCTAATTCGTTTTTTTATAGAGAAAACGATCAACTGTATTTTAGAGCCGTTAGTAGAATAGAAATAAAGTCCTTGTTGTCGTGAATGATGCAGGATAACCTCCTCGGTCTCGAAATGTTGTCTGAAATATAAAAGCCTCGGCTAACGCCTCGGCTTTTATATTTCAGACAACATTTCTCGACCTCGGAGGTTATCCTGCAACATTCACGATAACGCGGACTTTATTTCTTAAATAAAAATTAAATAGTTTCAGAGATAAGATCGAACTATTCTGTAGACAGATGAACAGACAGACGATCACGGTGATTCCAATATACCCCCTAAACTTCGTGTGCAGGTTATAAGAAATGCAAACAAAGAAGATGGGTGAACAAGGCGTGCAGAATGCCTATAGCTTCAGATATTAATAAAATCATATTCAATTTGTGAATTAAGTATTTAAAATAAAGTTCTCATTATTGAAATTTATGAAATTATGATTAACAAAACCTTTCTGAGAAAAAAGATCTCGGAAAAAATTATTCTTTTATTAAAAAAAATAAAATGGTATTCGTGGGATTCGAACCCCTAATCAATAAAAATCCGGAGTATCATATTGTTTTGAGACTAACACGCTAACCACTACGCCACGCAGCTCCTGACGAAGAGTGGCATTTAAATCATGTTTGTGATATGACCCTTGACTTAATGGACTTCAAGTATTTCTCGGAAAGATGCGAGTGCTTTGTCATAAAAGTGTACTTTTAAGGTATAGTGGGTCTTTGCTCCATGTTTTTGTAAACCAAAAAATGTATATTTTTATGCAAACTTTTAGGATCAACTTTCAAAAAAATGGAGCGAAGACCCACTCATATCGAAAAATTTTGTTAAAGTGTGAGAAAATGATCCTTTTTGTCCTCTTTAGTGTGTGTATGCTATTTCGTAGGCAAATAATTTCAGTCGTTGTGAGATTTTTGTAAATTGTAGAGATTTAGCATAAAATATACTTTAATGTTAGATGAAATATCAAAGAAAATTTTTATATAATTGAGATTTTATTTTTCACTTCATGTTTGTCACACTATAGGCACTTCGCCCGCCTTGTTCACCCATCTTCTTTCTCGAAATAGACTTGCTTTCACAAATTGAAGATTCAATTTTGAAGGGTTTATAAAAGTACTTTGTCGCCATGTACGTAATGTCGCCCGCGACGGTATGTACCATATGTACCAACCCCACTCATATATTGTCGTTCATCGGTACATATTGAGACTGGTGACAAAATTCTGCCAATATGAACTCTCCTTGTGACTGTACATATTGTCGTTCTGTACATATTGTCGTCGGTGACAATTTGTAACTTCCCTCACTGCACATATAGTCCATCGGTACATATTGTCGCCGGCGACAATATGTGCCGAGACGAGCCTTTTTTTCCTCCTGCATAATAGACGACAAAATGTACAGTCACGCATCGGCACATACTGTCGTCGGCGACAATATGTACAGTGAACATTTGCACATTTTGTCGCTGATATCTTGTTTTGTCGAATATTTACAAAGGTCGTGGAGGGTGGGAAGGAGGGAGAGAGAGAATTGATACACACACACACACACTCAGAGGGAGAGAGAGACGTCTACACAGAAGACAGAAGGATAAACAAAGGCCATGCAGATAGATAAGCAAACAAGTTGTATTTGTTAATTAGGATTACTTACAATACTGTAGGGAGAAAAGGTTTTGGTCAGAAAATTGTGTCAAGGAATGAAATATGAAGATAACGAACAGTAATCAAGCTCAAAAGTCCATTAGAACAATACAGATCGGGAGCAGACCAAACACGGACCTCTAAAAACATCAGAGGTGGGATCAGGTGCCATGGAGGAGTAAGCATCCTCTGTCAACCGGTCACGCCCGTCGTGTGCTCATTCTCATAATCAGTCAAACGGAATTACCATAGAAAATTCAGTGTTTAAATAATGGCCTAAGAATTTGTATGAAAAACGTCAGTCAGCATTTGACTTAATGATAGATTGTATTTGCTGACAAAGTCATTGTATCGATCATAGAACTTAAGAAAGGTGTACACCACTATGATATGCCAAGATACCGGGATTCTTGATTCATCTGATAAATCAGCATAATCTTTTTCTCTTATATATACTTGGAGATTGAATGTTAAATTTTGCTTTCGGTAGTAGTGATTATCTGGAAAATATTTTTGCGTTATTCTTTATACGTATACCGATATAATCAGGTTGGAATCTAAAGTTTAGCTCACCTGAGCTGAAAGCTTAGGTGAGCTATTCTAAGTAATACATATTGTTTGTCGTCCGTCTGTCCATCTGTCTGTATACCTTTCACATTTTCAGCCTCTTCCCAAGAACTACTGGGCCAACCTCAACGAAGTGTGCAACAAAGCATCGTTTGATGAAGGGAATTCATTGCTCTAATGAAGTGCCACGCCCCATTTTAAGGGGAAATAATTAAGAATTAGTGAAAATTTAGTGACATCTTTTAAAAACCCTTATCTCACGAACCACTGCGCCAGAAAATTGAAACTTATATGAAAGATAAATTATAAAGTGTATAGATACAGTTATATTCAAATCATGATCCCCGGGGGAATGGTTGGGCTACAATAGGTGATCAAAGTTTTACATAGGAAAATACAGGAGTAAATCTTTCGAAATCTTCACAAGAAGTACTGGGCCAGAAGAGTTGATACATTTGAAAGCATCATTGCATAGTGTACATTCAAGGTTATTCAGATCATGATCCCCAGGATGGGGCCACAAAGTTTTACATAGGGATATATAAAGAAACCTTTAGAAATCTTCCGTCTTCTCAAGAAAGCAAGTTCATGATTAGTCATATTTAAATGGAATCATCCTCAGGTAGTGTTGATTCAAAGTTGAAATCATAACCCCCGGGGCTAGAGTGAGGTCACAATGGGCGACCAAATATTTACATAGGAATATATAGGGATATTCTTCCTATATCCTAAAGTAAAAATTCTTTAAAAATCTTCTCAAAAACAGCAAAGCAATGATAAGTCATATTTATGTGGAAGCATCGTCAGGTATTGTAATGCAACATGTACTGATGGACGACAATATATGCAATTAAGGTAGGTACAGACCATATTGTCGCGGCGACAATATGAATAGGACGACAATATGTACCGTTAATATGTGTACCGTATATGTACAAATAGCATACGAGACACGTCATTGTGATTTATACACCAATTACATTCACAAAACTTTGAACACCGATATGTGCAGTGAGGGTATTGTACATAATGTCGCCAGCGACAATATGTACATGCGTAACTTTTCAGTCGGCGACAATACATGTTGGTGGATGGTACTGGATTAACCACGAGTAAAATGTAACCAATCAAAATGTTGCATGTTTTCTGAAACACCCTGTATGTACCAATGGACGCCAATATGTGCAGTGAGGGTTGGTATATATTGTCGCCTCCGACGGTATGTACAGAACAACAATATGTACCGTCACACTCCCCATTCTGCAAACTGGACCAAAACAATCGGTTATGAAAATTTATTTCACCTGCACCCAACTTCCAAGTAAACATAACATTTTTTCTTTCTATATCGGTAGAAAGATGAAAAGTTTTGCTTAAGTTTGTATCATTGAATCAAATTACAAAAAAATTACTGCCGTTTTTGAGCTCAATACGATGATTTAACAACCCTAGAAGTATAATATTCACCTGGCCGTTAATTCAGGCTCGGTGTATATTGTATTCCTTGGGTAGCCAAATCATCGTATTGACCTAAAAAACAACGATAATAATTGTCGCCGACGACAATATGTACAGATCAACAATTTGTACTGTCAGAAGGATTCACTTTTATTATCATTCCAGTAACAGCGTGTCACTTTGCTTGATCAAGCGTGCTAAAGTTTCACAAATTGATTACCATATTACTCATCGATTGGATGTTTGATTTGAATGAAATCAATGCCACTTTGCATAAAAAACACAGAATCCAACACTGGCCAATCATATTGAATGATTGTTTACCAGTGCGGCAGTCAGGAGCAACACGTGGTCAGTCAAATCCCGTTTTCTGTTGTCAAAATAGTACATGTGTCATATTTGTTGTGATTTGACCGAATGGAGTTAATACATGTACGTATGAGAAAAATTAAAGCATGAAATAAATAAGGCTATACTCTGCTACTATTATACTATATAGCGATCAATATCATTATAAGGATTAAAACTTGCTTTGCCTGTCCACGTGTGATTATTGTTTACTGCATTCTCGTGAACAATCATTCAATACGATTGGTCAATATTGCTGGGTTCTGTATTTCATATGCAAAGTAGTATTGCTTTCATTGAAATAAAACATCCAATTGATGAAGTAATATGGTAATCAACATGTGAAACTTTATCACGCTCGATCAAGCAAAGTGACACGCTGTTACTGGAATGATAGTAATTTTTACCTACTCTGCATGGTAATACAATCTTGGAATTAAAAAAAAAAGTTTCTGGAGCTCCTTTAATAAACACTATTAAAACCTACTATGCAATAGGTAAATTAGCTTTACCTGTTAAAACATCTTTTATTACTGCAATTTAATAATCGATCCCTTTAAATGGTACATGTGAATTTAAAGAAGCCTCATTTGAAAATTTTCGATCAAAAGGCGAATAAAGGTACACATATATCAATGTAAAAATAAGATTAATTCAAACAAAGCGAGAAAATCATATGTAAACGAAAACTCGGGGAATTACAAGGATTTAAATTACATGAATTAAGTCAGTGTGGAGTTGAATTTTTAGAGTTCGGAGGAGTTTAGATAGATACCGAGGGATATTGAAGTGATAGGGAGAGATATTTAATTTCAGATCAATATCGCGCTCCCTGGAGACCACCGATTTTCGCCGCCATCTTGAGGTTGTTAAGTTTGTTTCTGATTTTTATTTTTCTCTTTTAATCTTAATCCGATTATAGGATGTGATTTTTTAAGAAGTTCTGTCATTGTGACATTTAAATACGGGGATTATTCACAGGTCTGTTTCGTCTGGGGCTTATATAACAGAGACATCATGTGTCGTTGGGGATGTGCTTTGCCAAATACAGTAAGTTACTTTTACATCTACTTAAAATGTAAACAGTTCTCTCTCTCTCTCTCTTTGTTCGATGGGAATATAATAAAGCTGGGGTATCAAAATCAACGATCGGCCAATGTTCTTTCCTTGTACACGACTGCTGACTACTTTTCATAAAATCAATACATGGATCATAACTTTGACCATCGATTTATATTTTTAAGCCTCCGTGTGGAATAAATTAAAACAAAACAAGGTGAAAGTTATAGTAACAAGATAACTGAAAAATGGTTTGGAAATTTAATTTTAAGAACTTCAATACATATAATCAAAATAATTGCCAGAAATTAACAACTTGACCGTTAATATTTTAATTCTGTAGACTTACATGTGTAAGTGGTGTGGCACACGCTACTGTAAGGAATGTCTGAAAGGAGACTTCACAGGGGAAATGAAAGAAGCAAACAAATGTCGAGTGTGTAACCAGGTCAGTAAATAAGAGTTATATCCCTTTGAAATGTTGAGTTCAAATCACACGCGGGAAAATACTTTTCTTACATTTTGGATTTACAGACCCGATGCCAAGGACAGAGAGTAGAATATGTTCCCAGACCAAAAAGTGAAGTAGATGATAAAAAACGCAGCAAGTCAGCCCCACCCACTAGAGGACGCACAGCAAAAAGCGCTAAAGGCGGCAAACCAAAGAGTGCCAAATCCGGGAAAAAGTCAGGAAAAAAGAAAAAGAAAAAGTAGATTAAAGTGTTCAGTAACTCTTGATCAATTGCCAGAGATATTCAATCCAAATTTGCAATTTTTAGGTTTAACAGGACCAATACTCTAACCACAACGGGTGATCTTCGATCACTGCAATAATTACATGTACTTGGTACGGGTAATTTTTTGCAATCAGAGTACCAGAGTTTATGGTCATTAACTTGATTGTGTATATACGTTTAGCAATATCAATCCATTTACATTATACATTTAACTGATATATGTATATTTTTTGTTACTAATAAACTTCCGATGAGGAATTCACGCCTTTCTTCTTTGCTGCAAAAGTACTATGTTATATACAACCGAGAAACTCTCCTTTAGACACATACTAAATATTGCCATTGAATCAATACCTTCATACTATTGGCTACACTTCCAATAATACCATATTACTGAAAAGCAATAACTGCTTTAAGGACCTTCAATACACTAGAGCAAAATTTTTTTTTTGGACAATGATAAAATATTGTGTGTATTTTGAGCTTAATATTGATTCTATTTTTCAAAATAGGGTATCTGGCATTTACCCCCAGGAAAAATATTTTAAAGACAACGAAAGAAAAAGTGAGCAAGCTCACATACCCCACGCTCCCCCAAAACTCGACAATGCAACACGTAATGAATGGCACAGTGCATTTTAAATACACAGTATAATTCAAAAAGTGGCATTACTTGCAAAAAAGCATTACATCAAAACTTCTTGCATATAAGGACATTCAAATCTTTGTATGTTACAAATTTAATTGGGCTGAAGTTTCTAGATAAATAATGCAATCAAATTTCTTGGTAATATACAAATCTATACATTATGTCTGAAATACCTACAAAGTTTTGGATATTCAGTGCAGGAGTTATGCTGACAAACTGTTATTTAAATTCCTCAGTGATTTCGATTTGTTAATGAGTGTAAGTTCATATCTAACACATGACAATTTACACATTTAAATAATTGATGGAAACAAAATCATGATGTAGTCATATGAATTTGTTTATATACTGTACTTATGAAACTATTTAAGGCAAAGCACCAATTTGAAGGGGGGGGGGGGGGGACTATCCAGGATTTTGTGTGTGTGTTAAATCATTAATATTTTGATCTCAAAATCAACAGGGGTCTTTTAAGGTCATAAAATATTTCACATAAAATTTCATTACAAAAGCTGATTCCAGTGGATTTCCTTATTACCTAGCTGGAAAGTTTCTTCAATAATAGGCAAAACTCTTAAAGCAAAAATAATGGAATCGGAATTTCCTGGTAATATGCACATCTACACACTGTGTACTAAATATCTGCAAAGTTTATCCAAATTCAGTGCAGCGGTTTAAGAGGAGTTGCACTAACAAACTGTTCATCTATATATTCAAGATATGGCCAAAAATCTAAGTTGAAAAGTGCCGAAATTCCCAGAAAAAATAAAGGTATCGGAATTTCCTGGTAAATATGCACATCTACACATTGTGTCCTAAATATCTGCAAAGTTTGACCAAATTCTGTGCAGCGGTTTAAGAGGAGTTGCGCTGACAAACCGTTCATCCCTATATTCAAGGTATGGCCAAAAATCTAAGTTGAAAAGTGCCGAAATTCCCAGAAAAAATAAAGGAATCGGAATTTGCTGGTAATATGCACATCTACACATTGTGTGCTAAATATCTGCAAAGTTTGACCAAATTATGTGCAGCGGTTTATGAGGAGTTGCACTAACAAACTGTTCATCTCTATATTCAAGATATGGCCAAAAATCTAAGTTGAAAAGTGCCGAAATTCCCAGAAAAAATAAAGGAATCGGAATTTGCTGGTAATATGCACATCTACACATTGTGTGCTAAGTATCTGCAAAGTTTGATGAAATTCTGTGCAGTGGTTTATGAAGAGTTGCGCTGACAAAAAAAACAGGACTGACGGACGGGTCAAAAACATTATACCTCACGCAACTTGTTGCGTGGGGTATAATTGATGAACACAAATCACTTTTACTTACATAAGTGGGGAAAATGTGTGCAAATAAATTATTAAATTAATTTATGTTGGCCTATTAACTTGCTAAAAATGCTTGAATTGATTGGAAATTGAGTAAAACACTGTAGATCTTAATTCGATTTTAGAACAAAGGACAAATTATTCTTCATGCATGAAAATACCACAGAATCAGAAACTCTTTAGTTTACAGTGTATATAAGATTCTTAAAATAAATATAAAACTCAGGAGTCTATTGAGATTTCCACATCTTTAATTCTGTGACCTCTGTTCACACTAATACATACACAAGGAACCTATCAATGAAACACTCTCATTCGTACACTGGCACTCACTCCAGCTGTTCAATGGATGATGGGACTACAGCATGATTATAAGCATGGGATTGTACTGTGGAGTATTCAGCGAGAAACAGCGGCAAGACTTTTGCTAGAGTTTGTCATTTTTGGTAAATTACTAGAATGAGACATTGCGGTTCTTTGCAGAAAGTGTTAAACATGAGAGTCCTTGCAAATCAACAAACATTCACTCAGGCCAAAATGTTGCATAAAAAAATGTTAAGTTCACAACTACACATTAATTTAGTTTAGAATTTCACAAAAATAAAAGGTTTTGTACAATAATGGTACATGTATATGGTCTAAACTTTGTTTACAAACATTAACCTTGCATTTTATTCCTATATGATCCAACATGTAAAACTGATTAAAAAATACAATTTTAGCTGTATTTTAGCGTTCAAATCACTCAGAACTGTGCATCATGGATGAAGAAAATGACTGGTCAAGATCTACTGAAATACTGACATCAAATGCTGAGTAATGCCAACAGAAGCCTATTCATATTGCACATATTTGCCGATATGGCCAACGATATCAAATGATGCATTTCCTTGGACAAATCATCAGCCTATGTACAGAATGATGAGAAATAAACTGAAATCTCTGGGTACAGGCTTGGATATGTTTTACAAAATAAAAAAGTTAGGGAGCCTAGTGTTAGCTAAATCTTATCGTACACAATACTATTTCTTTTGCCTTTTTTCTGTGATATACAGTAATAAATATGGTTTAACATCACAACCTGGCAAATCTTACAAGAACTCAAAAGTTTTGAAGACTGGAGACTTAAAGCAGCGACATTCTAATAAAATATAAAACTAGAACTGTCCAAAAGGGACAAATACCCCCCGCTGGGTTTTTCAGAGAAAGTACCAAATCACTAATGTTTTCTAGATGTGAGAGGTGTTCACAATTTCCTTAAACATTTACAGTGAAAATTTAATTACTCATTATATATTTTTATACGTCCGTCTTACGACGGGACGTATTATGTTATAGCGTTCATGTTTGTCCATCCGTTAGCTTTTTCATGTCCAGCTCATAACTTTAATACTATTAGGCCTAGAATTATCAAACTTTGTCAGCGGATACATCTAGGGTAGAAGGTGTGTCGCACATTAAAACCAGGTCGCTCTGACCTTTAATAAAGACGCTATGGCCAGATATGGAAAAATCATAACTAGAAAACCATTAGACTTAGAATCAAAAAACTATGTCTTTTAACTTTTAAATTACACAGTCCCAAAAGATGTCAGAGTATTGCAGTATCTTTATTAAAAAAGTGTTAAATCAAGAAAATACTAGTCTTATTTTTTTTCATTATGTTCTTTACAGCAATCTGTAACAACAAAAATTCCACTTCTCCCATGGGTGTAATGATCAGGCACTGGTCAAGGAAAATTTTGATAGCAGAAAATTGCATGTCAAATTAGAGAGAAATTAATGAGTTTTGTGTGAGGAGATAACTGGTAGAGCATCTCTGATCAAGCAGGTGTTATCTACATCTCTTGGGAATTGGGCAAAAGGAATCAGTCTCTTAATTAATTGCTTGTGTTGTATTGAATTGTTCTTGTTGACTAGTCTTACTTTCAAGATAAATTTGATGTAATTAAAACTAATTTGATACTGTATATAATAATTAAAAGTTATATGATATTGTATAATATAATTTAAACTAATTATTTATTGTACATTTTTTATTTGAATTTTTATATCTTTACAACAAATTGCAGACTGCCTTGTCTCGCTAAGATGTCATTCAAACAATTGAATTTAAACTGTTTATGATAATTTAACAATATTTGATGGGCGTATCATGCTGTGGTGGGACACTTTATTTAATGAATGAAACTAAGGTGCAGCCTAATAAAACATCAACACTAATAATTACAGTGTTTTTTATTACATTGAAACAATAGTTTGCAACTATCTGCCATCTTTGTGAGACATGACACTCTGCAAATTGATTGTTGAAAAAAAGAATATCATAATTAATTATAGAAAATCAAATTGATTTTAATACCTTTATATCAAACTCATTTTAAAAATAAAAGGCTGGTTTTAGTAACTATGTATTTGACAGACATAAATTACAAGTAAGAGACTTAGACAACAGAGATCTTTATTTCTTTCTGCCCAATTCCCCTGAGATATAGATAAGACCTGCTTGATCAGAGATGCCCTAACAGCTTCCCACACTGAACTCATTAATTAATCTTTAACTGGATGCATGTCCACTCATTACTCCCAAGGGACAAATGGATTTACACTATCTGCTGTGTAATGTAAAAACTGTTTTTAATACTTTGTGGGTTTTTTTTAGTTCTAATGAGTAGTTTTAAGCTGTAGTTCACATTTTTGTACAGATGTTCTAGATTCTATGTCTCAAACCTTAGAGATGAACCAGAAATGACTAAGTCAATAAATTAAATTAAAAAAAACAACTGTAAAATGCAGAAAAATTATCAAATAATGTTGAAAATACCAGGTGCACATCTTCATATGGTAAATAATAAGTGTACAAATTTTCATACAAATCTATGCAATAGTCTCTGGGAACAGATCCAGACAAAACCACATAATAAAAATGAAAAAAACACCTGTAAAATGCAAAATAATTATCCAATCATAATGAAAATACCAGGTGCACACCTTCATATGGTGAATAATAAGTGTACAAATTTTCAGACAAATCCTTCCAACAGTTTCCAAGAAATGGTCCGGACAAACTCTCGTCTACAGACAGACAGACAGACGGACAGACAGACAGACGGACATGCTGATTCCAATATACCCCCCCTAAACTTCGTTTGCGGGGGGTATAAAGAGACTTTCTTAACGAAGGCACATAGACTGAGAAACACAAGAAAGATTTAACCTACAATGTACATAGATTGTGTGCATATTTAAATACTGAATACAGAGTTTATCTAGGAAAACACAGTATCGGTATATCAATAAATCTAAACCTGCAAAAAACTCTTACATGCATAAATACTGTTATCAAAAATTAACCCTTAACTGTGCTTAAAAATTCTATGCTTTCAACCTTCATTTCGACTGACCAAAGCCTGCAATCATCATACATGTACAGGTAAAAGGTCTCACAATCGCTCAATAAATATCGACAACGTCACTGATATATTTCTATAAATAAAATATATGTATTGCAGTAAATAAGTTGATATATACTGACTTATATAGATTTTCACTAAAGCCAGTGTGACATGGAACTTCTAACATTTTACAACTGTTAACTCATATCACAAAAATTCTTGACAACCAACATGATACTTTTAAACAATGCATTTTCCTATTGATAATGCATTTACCTACTGAACTCTTGAGATTCATTTTGAAACAAAGGAAGATACTGCATAAGAGAAAGGGTTTGCTCTTCAAAATTTATCCTGATATAATAATATCAATTTCTTTGTCTAGCAGTAATCCATGATGAGAAAGAACATTTGAGCCATTTGTGTACTAATAAACTTTTGGATTTCACACTTCTTCACTACTTCACCTCTAGTCCACAAAGAAAAGTACGACTATGGTTGACATTGGCAGTAAACAAGCAGAGTAACCATGGTAACACTTAAATAACACTGGCGGGTAATTTTTCAAAAACGTCATTTTTTCCAGCTTGAGCACTGCTTCCCCGTCGCCTTGGTAATGTCGGGTGTTCTGGACAACCATTGTTCATTAGTAGTTCTACACACTCATTAGAACCTGAACTTCTTGCGTACCACAAAGCGTTTCTCCCTTCATGGTCCACCACCTTCACATTGGCGTTGTACTGTAAAAATGATTATTATTCTGTATTTGCAGTCATATCTAATTATTTACAAGAGAGTTTACCTATTTTGTCTCCCCTGACCTTGATTAAAACCTTTTCAATTATGTCAGAATTGACTTCCATTTTCCAAGAGCTCATGACAGCTATAAAATAAGACTTCTCAATTCAAAACATGTGCATTAGCATTTCATGAAAAATATGCCTGAGTAAAAAGTCCAGGTTCTAAAAGAACTTTTCTTAAAAAAACACTTCCTATACTGTATTTACATGAACATTTTAAATGATGAATATTTTCATTCAAATATGCATAAATTACAATATGTGAGAGATTTCTTTCCTAAAATTAGCCTAGAGTGTTTTGAAATGTTGCATTGTTATTTAGGCTGTTGTGTCTTTATTCTTTGCCTGTATTGAGGAGGAACGTTGATGTGATCTGGACCTTATACTGGAATCACAAAAGACAGCTATTTCCTGCTCATCACTTGCAGCTCATGAGAAGATAAACTTTTTAATCATCAGAAGGAATACCGGGTATTTTAAAAAAATCGCACTAATAAAAATCAAAAAATAAAAATCCTGCAATGAACTAAAATGAAAATTTGAACCCATCTTGTGGCATCATCCTGTCCTAGGGCCATGAAATGTTTACTTTTGAATGTGCACAACATGAGGATACTTACTCGTAAATTTGACAATTAAAAAACCCGCAGTTTTTAAGAATTTTGCTACATGTACATTTCTATGGCAACCTAAAGATTCCTTCTGGGGCCCCATCATGGCCTCCAAGAGGCTATGGTTTAAAAAATTTTGAATTTTCACTATATAAGGAAGATATCTAAACTCTTTTTTCATTCTCAATGATCTCCCTCTAAAATAGGCATCTCCTCTCATTTGATCAAACTGAACTCTCATCACCCAATGGTGCTTTGTGGGAAGTTTAGTTGAAATTAGCACTTTATTCAGAAGTAAGGCAAAAAATGTGAAAAGTTAGCACTAGCTAACACACAAAATCAAAGTGCAAAAGGTCACATATGTAACTGTGATCTGAAAATATTCAATACTGTGAAATCACTAATTTTCGGGGAGGGGGGGGGGGTTAATTTTGTTGTGTTTGTAGTATGAATTAGACCCTCGACTTCATATCCTCCACAAAATGCTAAAATTTCATACTTCAGTTCGATGTTCTTCCTTTAACAACGAAATCAAATCCCCTTGAACCATTAATTTTTCCTTGAACCATGAAAATTTGACACCACAAAAATAAGTGATTTTGCAGTAAGTTACTTAAACACATCCACTTACCCAAAGTAGGAGCTGAACATAAACCACATTTCCTAGGGCTGCTGCAATGTGGAGTGCTGTCCTTCCATCATCTTTACTGTATGGACAATTTATATCCTCTGGGCGACTGTGACCCAGCACTAGAATAATATTCCTAATATCCTCTCGCACTAATGCATCTATTAATTGCTGAAATATGAAAGGACTGTCATACAGACCATTGAGTAAAAATCTGTAAACAACACTGTAAAACCATTCAAAACATGGGAAATAGAGAAATCAAATACAAAATATAACTCTTAACTGCTTAGGTAGAGTAATTCTTATATAAAATTTTGTGGAAACATGACAAAACTTTTTGTAGAAACATAAAAATGAAATTTTTTAAAATTTGCAGGAATCTAATTTTCCCAATTAAATAGGCCATCATTCTTACCTGATTAAGGGCTATATCTAGATAAGGAGGAGGGGGCAAAAATTCTTTTGCTTCGTATTTGGCCCTAATCCATTTCTCCTTTTCATCCCTGTAATAAAAAAATGATTGAAAAATCTTATAAAATCTCGTACAAGCTCCCCTCTTTTTCAACAAGTAGTTGTTATACTTAGGGTTATTTGAATTTAAAAGCTATAATACTTTTAAAATCTCTTATATTTGACTTAATTATAATTAATAACATTAATCACATTAAGATATTTGATAACTATCTGTACTGATATGCATATTATTGAATGTTATACAAAATACATCACTTTTACATCAACCCTATTTTATAGGTACATAGCTAATGAAACCTGTTCATTCTTACCTAGGAGAAGTGGGGCCTGGTTTTGATCTATTCTTTATGGTATGTTCCCATACACTATTAGCTATGCCATTTCCTATAGACATCATTACTCTAACTAGGTCAGGCCTGGAAAGAAAAAAATCTTAAACCCTGACACAAATAATATAAATTAGAATAAATCCTTTTGTATTTCTTAGACTTATCCAGTCTACTCTCTGTATTGAAATTCAAGGGACCAACACACTTTTTTTCCTGAATATAACTGAGGTTCAAATTAAGCGAAATTGGTTATGTGAAAACAATGTTTTTAAATCCTGGTCTAAAATGCACAGTCAAAGCCAAACCAATTACACACTTTATCTTTATGACTATATGAATGGTGAAATGAAATATTTAGTTTAGTGAAGATTTACTTGAAGACATTTTTCAACCTCGGGATAATGTCTTGATTTTAGGAAATTTTCATTCTTTTTTTGATTAGGGGAAATGTCTTGAGACTCAAAGACTTCACAAACAGTGGCATGCTGCTTGTACATCAATGCTTGTGTGTTCAGATTTATCCCAAAATCTTTCTAAAAATTTGGATGTAGATTTTAAATTTTTATATATGGCTGACATTACGTTCTTGTGGTTTACCCATTTTCATGAAAAGCATGTGTTCACAAATGTTGCCAATGTGTAATTACCAAGAACAAGATACCCCTTGGTAATTTTTTTCTTATAAAAACATGCAATGAAAACATATTGGGTGAAATTTTATCTACTGACACCTTAGCATCTACTTGTATAATCACAAAGTCACCATCTGTGATGATGACTGGCCAGAACTTCAAAATAATAAAAGGAATGGTAACTGAAATAGTATGTGATGTAACTTACGGCCATTCATCTAAGTCTAGTGATCTGACTCGTGACAGATGAGTCCCGAGGTTTCTGTGGATCCCTGAGCACTCTATACATACTATTGTTCCTAGATTAATACTGGCCCAGTCAGGATCTGAAGCAGAAAAACAAATATATTGTAAGAACATAAGTATTCCACACAATTTATAATTCAACAATGCTCAAAACATGAAAAAGTTTGCTTGGAGTTATGAATCTAGTTAGTGATAAAATTTAGCATCCTTTAGCTTAACCTACTCACAAAATATCTGACAAACTCATTGAAATTACATTTTAAACAGCATTGATGAAAACCCTATGTGTATATATTTTTTGACATACTTGGAGCTCCACAGTCAGCACATGAGTTGTTCCCCCTAACTGTGCGTATTGCTTGCATCCCCGCAGGGTCAGATTGTGTGCTGCGTTTGTTAGACTTGCTGATTTCATTTCCCTGGAGGGAATTTAGAATCTGTTGTTCTATTGCATTGATCCATTCATCCCTCTCCTATTTAGAAAACATAATTAAATAGGTTGTTAATTATTAATTACCATTTTTATGATGAAAACCTCATTCAGTCTTCATTTACTTTATTTGCATTTTGCTGTACAACTTACCTGGGAATCCCCAGCTTCAAAATGCCACTGTTTGTTTTCAAGGGAGACAATCATAAATTCATAACCATCTGAATCTGAAACAAAATGGTGTAAAATTTCTGAATCATATGAATACTTCAAAAACTGTATCTTTAATACACTTGCCATACGTATTAACACATTCATACCATCTCCATCACCGACGTTTTTGAGTCCGCCACTCTTCGCCCTTCGATGTCGTTTCTTGACATTGGGCGTTTCTATCTTGGACCCTATACTGTTCCCATTCAGTTTGGACAAAATTCCATCACCATTGGCAACACCTGTCAAAGCAAAACCTAGTTATACAGTGAATTTGAAAGTAGTTAAACAACATCTCATAGTAAATGTACACACAAAACTCATTCAAAAGCTTCACATTAGAACATCCAATAAACTTTTTTTTTTTTGCATACATAAATGTTCTTTTAAAACCCATTTTGTGAGAATATGTAAACCTATTATCCTTCACATCTTCTCTTTGAAAATTTGTCATTTATATGTGACATGTAAGGGTTGTCCCTAAGGCTTAGGGGAATAGCCACTTCTACTTTTTTAATATCCCCTGCTATTTCAATTCTTAGGGACAACCCTGCATGTGTACTTATATTAATGATATTTATATTACATATGAACATACTATTACATGTATATGACATCCAGAATAATAATTGTTCCCAAAATAATTCTGGTAACTTATTTAAAGCAATATAATTTTGCAATTTACTCATCATTGTGAAGCTAGTGCAAATTAGCTGCATGTGAAAGAAAGTTTGCTTTCTGTAATTAAATCAAAGTTATGGTGAAATATTCAAAACAAAGAACTTTTTATTGTTAAATGATGAAATGTAAGCCTACAATGAGTTAAGTTGTTTTGAAGGACATCAGTGGAAAAAATAATTCTAACACACCTTCAAGAGCACCTGTTACTGAATTAATGAATGGCGCATCAGAATTGGAGTTGTGACGCTCGCGAATGACATCAAATCCTGTTAGACGAACGTTTTCCTTATCTTTACTTTTCCCTGTAACAGTGCAATTACGACACCACATGCAAAACAGAAATTAAAAGTGAACACATAATACACTCAACAAACCATGCTAGAATCCATTTCGATAAAACTTAATTCCCCTACAATAATTTATCATGATCTAGCATGATCTGTGACATACAAAACACATGCCTAATTCTACAAATATGGTAAGTGAAAATTGGCTGTTTGATTAAAGAACAAATTAAGATTAATCTGTAGTATTTCAAATACTGCATTAAACAAGTATTTCTTTTTTTTTTTTTTTTTAAATTTTTCAACATTAACAACAGTCATAACTCTCAGAAAACCATATTTTGCATTCAAATAAAAGATGGTCAAGTTCAACACAGTTTAGTCTTGACATACATATTCTACTCTTATAGAACATATATTTCCTAATTCCACATACATGTATAATGCCATCAAAATAAATAATTATTCTTCTAAACATAATCTAGTCAGTGCAGCAAGCTTTACATGCTACAATGGCAACGACACCATGTGACCACAGCCTCACTTTGGGTCAAGCTCCCTTTTGTGTCATACAGTAAGCACTAACAGAGGACATGATAAAGGTACATGCAGGTACACTCACCACTCAAGGAGAAGCTAGTTTTACTTTCACCTTTAGCGTCTTGGTTTGGATGCTGAGCTGGATAAACAGGAACGGTCTTAGTTGTCCGAGGCCGAAGGCCAGGAATTTTGACCGTTGTGTGGATCAGATTTATCTCCTTTGCATGGACATCATCCATGTAATCCTGGAATGAACAAAACAAAATACAACTGATTCATTCTTAATTTTAACTTATACATGTATAACAGAGATTACATGGCACTTATGGATCTATATATGCCCTACTGATAAAGCTGATGTTACTAAAATAAGAGGCTTATGGGCCTTAATGGTCACCTGAGTATCACAAGGCAAGGTTATCTGAGCTAGTGTATGTTTTCTATTTTTACATGAGCAAGCTTGCAAATAAATTTAACAGTTTGTAGCCTGATTCTGAAAGACTTACTGAAAATATATGTCAAAGTCAAAATTTTGATCCCAATTGTGGCTCCCCATTTTGAAGGAGACATGGATGAACATTCTTGAATCTACAGTACATGCTTGCAAATACCTTGCATGTAAATTTAGCAATTCATTATGTTTCTTAAAAAGACTTTTTTTTTTTAAATTTACTAAAAATTGTATGTAAAACTTTTGATCATTTTGTGCACAATCCCACCCCTAGGGACCAAGTTTGAATATGTTTGAATCTTCGTTACATAAGAAGTGCTTGTGATAAAGAACTTGAAATGAAGTTTTATTAAAAAAAATTGAATTCTCCTCATTTCTGAATTCTTTGGAACAAGTTTGGATGAAATTGGCTCTGTGGTTCTAGGAGAGAATCAGAAAGTGAAAAGTTTATGATAAGGGATGACGACAAGCAAAATCGAAGGACCCTTAAAAATGCAATGGAGGTGGAATGCCAAGAAAAAATGGAATGTAAACTGAACAAACTCCACACATAATTGTAGCTTACATGTAGACTTGGGTGGTATGTCAGTCTTCCATCATCAAGCAGTGTGACATACTTCTTCTTCCATTCCTTATTCAAACCATGACTCTTCTTATACAGGTACCCCTACAATGAATTATTATCAGTGTCATAAGTCACTGTTCTCTTGATATATCTAATAAACATAAGGATTCCTCTATTAAAACCTGAAAACATAATAAACTACAACCTTTTTTATTACCGGTGTAACTGAGAAACTGTGTTTAGTTACTCTAATCAGCAATGCACTTCTGTTTTCATTTAAAAAAAAAAAAAAAATCCCATTATCCTTACAAGTTCTTTGCAGTTGATGACACTTAAAATGTTCATTGCTATAAAACCAGTTTATAAAGAAATACTTCTTTTTTCATTAATAATGAAATAACTTTATCAAAGAAGTCATGTACCTAGAAAAACAACAGCACCATGAGCATCCCCCCTTCGTTGTGACGGGATAAAATCTCAGGCTGAAAAGGAATCTGATATATATGGACATTTACTTCCATAAATAAAAACATATCATAACTGACCTGTTTAATTGGGATGACACGCCCACTTCCTAGTTTCTCCGCCTCTAAAGATGCCCCCTTTTTCTCATCCTCTTTATTTTTAGGCTGAAATATGATTTTTATCAGAAAATCCTCATCTCACTTAAACAGACTATCTTGTCATTAACAACCAATATCATTAATTTTAAACCAATTTCTGCAATGTGAAATCAGCAAAAGTATCTCAATTATTATAAATAATGAAACTCTGTCAGACTCCGAAATGTCCATGTCTTGAGACCTGGTATTTGCTTCTTCAGGAGAAATGAACCAGAAGATAGAACACAAATAAAATAAATTGAAAATCTAAACTTAATGTGTAAACAAATAAATGGCTGGAGAAAATAACAGAGAGATCAATAACTTTGTAAAAAAAAAAAAAACATTCTTAAAATAATGATATAAACAACATACATGCAAATTAAAATGCAAGCTTTAAATTAATTTAGGATTAAAAATTTAGTTTTCTTGATTAGAATTGACATACTCTATTTAAATACAAAATAATCTACATGAATGTAAATTAGTCATTACAACTGATTAATTTTAAAATTAGTCTTATGAAAAATCCTTTCAATTTGACAGTCAACATCTGCTTCCTGGAATATCAGAATGATTGGTTAATTTTCTCATCAGATTTTTTTTAACTCCACCTACATGCTGTTAGTAAAGGTAGGAGTTATTTCCTTTCTTCATCTCTTACATTTTTCCCCTCCACAACTGAATTTCTATCTTAGAATACTTCAAACTTATGATAAAATATAATTTGTTTTGAATTTTTGGGAAATGAAATATCAGTAACTGCAAACAATGAAGACCAGAACTGAATTCCTGCTGAACTTTGCAAAATATGTCAAAGCTTTGAACTCAAAAGAAATTTTAGTACAATCAATTATCTTCAGTGAGGTAATTTTAACACGGCAACCCCTTTTAGTGGTTACGAACACAGCAAAAATGAATATAACAAGTCTTGTTTTGCCAGGGAAAAATTGTTATCATAAAGTGAAGTAGAAGAAAATCTTACATTAAACAGGTTAGACCTGCGACGGTTTTTTCGACTCTGAGTAGGGGTACTGCTTGGAGTCGGAAGATCTTTGCTATCAGATTTTTCCTGCAAGCACGGATTTGGTTAGAGATGTCAGTAATTGCTACAGTCTACATGGGATAGCTAGCTACTAATGCATGGCAATATAATGCTACAATATATCCATACACATAAAAACACCCAGACTTATATATAAGCCAGGGATTGCTTTTTATGTGCAGTAAACAATGAAATACATTTTTTTACCCTACATACTGCACCAAAATACAATTAGTTCAACACAATTCTGAACAATTTCTTTTTACTGAATGTCAATAAAATGTATTTTATATTATTTTCACTCCTAATGTATATAAAAAGTTTTCATTTGAATTAAATTATTTGAAAATTATTTCTTATAGCAACTAACAGAACATGTCCAAGATGGCATCTAGATCAGTAGCCTAAGCTTTTTTTGTTTCATATATATACCAGTAAACAGCCCAAATGGTGCACCATGTATTACAAAAGATATAAAATAATTTCCAAGTTTCCACTGAGTGCAATAAATAATAGGTACATATATAAATGAATCCATGCCAACAGAAAATAGGTTGAATAGATACTGGATAATAAATAAAGACATGCACCACTGTTCTGAAAGATGAAATAAATTGAATGACATTAATGTCCTCCTATAATAAGTAGATAATGATGTCAGAAGTTAGCGGCCTTGAGCTATCCAGTATTTCCATCACCAGTTAAAACAGCTCTGATACATCAGATATTATCATATTGTTGATCATTGTCATTTTTGGACTGATTATTTTAAGTAAACAAAATAAGGTGTTAGGGGAAATGGAGATTGTAAGAAACCAAACAATTAAATGTACAAAGGCTTGACAAAACAGATTCTGAGCAATACTGTATTGAAATTACAAACACAAATATGGGAAGGCAGAAAAAAATTAAGATGCTGTACTGTTATTCAGTATTAAGAAATTATAATTGTTCTACGTTAATTTATTTCTCTCTACAGTATTGAAAATATAATTTCTTCAATAATGGATATTGAATTTGGACCAAAAAAGTTTTTTAAAAAATAAATAAAAAAGAACAAAAAATACACCTAAATCATGCAGCGGCGACACCTGATAGCAATGAATGGAACAAAAATAATGGGGAATAACTCTGGATGACTCAAAAAACTTACAAGAACAAGGCTGGACCGCCCCTTGTTGGAAACTCGCGAGGCTGTCGGAGTTACAGGGGAGGTGTTCTCATGAATTTCTAATTCCATCAGATATTTATCCATTTTATCCTATGAAACAAGTCACATAGGAAAAAAATAACAGAAGAATTACATTCTATGGATGGATCCAAATTGACTTGCAATCATTTTGATAAATAAATACTATAACTTGATACTATTTGTGTTGTAAAGCCCACAGAATATTAAATTTCTATAAATAATCAATTTTATCTACATGATTCTCAAATGTTGAAAATTGGATCCATCTTGGAATTAGACTATTACATAAATATAATTACATAATGCAAAAACTTTTAACACTTCTAATTTCTTTCAAACAAATCTATTAATTTTTTTTTCAAAATAAAGAAATTAAATAATGATTTTTAAACTATAAAATAAATCAATAAAAATGAACCAATTACAATTTAGAACAATGCATAAAATGAGAACAGAAATGCAGCAACATGCATTTTGTTTAGATGATGTTGATAAATTGGTTATTATTTAAAAAAAAAATTACCACCAATACAAACCAAAAAAATTTCTTGAAGCATACAACTACAAAAACATGTTAGGGATAATGCTCCAATATACCACTACACAAGTACTGGTGATATACGTACGATATATTTTTAATATTACTTTATATAGAAATAATAAGTGGAAATAATTATGTGTACGTGAGCTGCATGTACATCTACATAAATATGTACTACGAATATGGTTATGATTTGTATCGATACAAATTCATAATTATCATTCCTATTTTGAGAGGAAGGTCTAATTCACTTATAAAAAACAACATCTTTACATCCAGGTAGTACATGTAGCAAATTTCTTTTATTTCTTGGGTTGCCAGTATGATTTATTAATACACCATTCTACGTCCAACTAAGCAATAACAAGTTTTGTAACAGCCCCATCTGTAGGGCTAGCATAAGACAGACTCTCAATGTTGTACTCTGCATGCCCTAACAAGAATCCTATCTATATAACTCATTAAATATGACCCTTTTTATTATTTTTAGATATAAGAAGTACTTTCTATATACCCATGCACTGCCCTTTTGGTACAACTTAAAAATATGACCCCATACTGATTTAAGCAACAAAACAAGTGCCCTTATAGAACAAATGATAAAATAAGGCCGGTACAGTCCCAAGCCAGTGTTCTTTCTGTATAAGGGAGGAGCTAAGCTGGTGTCCTCACATACCTTGATGAAGGAATATGATCCCATTTCACTGTCAGGCTGCCAGCAGCAAGATTATCAGATATAAACCATTAAAAGCAAAGCTTAATTAATAGTACTATCAGTCAAATTTTAGTTTGCCTTGTGCAAAATTAATCTTACAATCTCCATTTATAATATAATGTCTGTCTGATTAAGGTTATAAAAAATACATGTATCTTTTGGCTTCTTACTTAAGCCTTCAGAAAATTAAAATCTTAATATGGTTATATAATATTTCTTCATTTTACATAAATTAATTTTGTAGATTAGGATTTTGGTTGATTATTTGTAAAGGATTGGGTGTTTATGACTGCTAGATATGTAATATAGTCCACTAAACTCTACAAAGGAGAATACATATTAATATCAATAGAAACTTAACCAGTCTTCTCCACAGAAAAAAAAAATCTCATCTATGAATTGATTATAAAGCAAACTGCCTTTGGTTTGATTATTCTCATATAACTTATTCTCTTGTAAATTTCTCACACAAATATTAAAAATTTGATCAGAGTTTATTCCTACAGTTAGTAAAATCTGAAATTGGTCTTTTAAATGTTGTAACTTTATCCTTTTCTACAGGAGAAAGATCAGAATATTACTGTACATGTGTCCTTAAATTAATACACATTCCAAATTTGTGTAAATGTAGGATTTTTTTTTTTCATGCAATCACAAGCAAGTTGTATCAGTTCTTTGATAATGTTAAACTTCAACAAATTCAGACTTTTGCACTTCTTATGTAATTTAATTTATGTAAGTTAATTTATGGTAAAAATCTGTCATGAATCTCTTTAATTTGTACTCATACATTAATTTCATAAGAAATATTTAATTACTAAAGATTCATCTTTGATTATAAAAGACACCTCAGCTGACTTGACGTCACTACCTGAAATGCTTCAAAAATATCTTGAAGAACAGAATTTCTAGATCATTAAGTATATATAGAACTAACAGAAGAAAATGTTGTAGAAGTTTTGTTATGGAGAAGACAGATTAAATGGACAGTACACTAAATCTGTTTATTATTCTGTTGCCAACACGCTCCCCAAACTTACAGTCTTAAAGCTGGATTTTAAAAACTTGGAATTTTTCCGATGGAGAATAGGGGTGGTCACTGAGGTGTTGGAGTGTCGGCTATCAGTCGCACCCTGGAGGAAAACAAAACAAAAGCCATGCATGCAAAAAAATACAACCAGAAACTGAAAAGTTCAAATTCAAATAATAAAATTTAAAAAAAATCAATAAAAGAGAAAGACCTCATGCACAGATTCCACAACAGGCTTGCAGTGCCACCTAGTGGTAGAGAATTTACAACCAAGCTGCTGCTTTCTGTACAGTTCATTTTTAAAGCCATTGTGAAGTTTTTTTAACTTATCAATTTATGCATATAATTTGTTGGTCAATTTGAAAACGGAAAGCAGAAACCTGTTTTTTGAACATAGCAAAATGCATCAAATTGCTGATACATGTATACAGAAACACAACACTTCAAATGAAGAAGCTTGGATGATCAGCCATAACAATGATGAACACACTGAAATTTATGCTCTCTGATTATTTTTATAAGCTTTTCTTATGTTAGTGAGAAAAATAATCATTTTGCAATACACAATATTTACTTGTAAAAGGCTTAAAGACTGAAAAAATAAGTTGGTGAAAAAAAATCAAGTATTGCCATTTGCCACTAAATTGTCGTTTTTCATAGTAATGAATAAAAAGTGCAAACGTATGCAAGATTCTGACTTAAAATTAAAAAAAAAGAAAAAGAAAAGAAAATGATAATCCTCTAAAAACTTCATCATCCAAATGAAATGAGCATTGTGAAGAATTACAGTGAAAATGTTAGACACTGCTCTACAATTCAATCCCTACTCCATGGAACATGACAGAGATCTAGCACAGGGTATGTAACTTACACTGAAGGAATTGGACTTCTGTATAATGGAGGATTTCTTGTTTTTACGGGCTGACAGTGGTGTAGAGGTGGCTAGGTCTACCCTATCTCCCTAAAAATAGAACCACAACACAGACCGCATGCATTAGTCAGTTCTGAAAAGCCACAAAGCCGCAGCAGATAGAAGATTCAGTTCTATGTCACTATCTACTTCTGGTTTGAACTCTTTGCACAAATGAGTTAAGCATTATCTACTTTCATGCTGTTGTTCTCATGAATTTTTTTAATCCTTTATACTAATCAAAGATTTTGTGCGTTTCATCTATATAGGATTGAGAAATAATCTGATACCAATGCACATTTTTTTAACCTGTAAATGTCAGATGATCTTATCTTTTACTGCTTTTGAGGAAAAAGACCTTACATCTAACTTTCCATTTTTATTATTATGAAGATCTGCATGCCTGTAAATCAATAGTCAGCAGCACAGAAAGACCATTTTTAGCCAATTTAATTGTTGCTTTTTGGCAAAAGCTTAGAAATATAAACTAAACAGAAAGAGCTGTATTAATGGTATACTTTAATACCAAAGCCGATCACTACTTAAATCTACCTGAAATCTACCCAGGTCAAATATGCCACAACCAAAGCTGACAGCCAGCAAATCAGGATCCTTATTTTGAATTTTGTTTAAAAAAAATGTGTTTAATAAAAGAACTGTGCTATACTTAGAGTTTCTAAAACAGAACATATTTGGTTTAAATCATATTTCTAAAGCATTAAAAAAATCACAACATTTATTAAGATAGGTTACATAAAAAATTAAAATGCATGCTTAAATATATTGCATAAAATAAAATTACTATATTTTTAAAAATCCTGGAAACTTGTATCTTGATTACAGATAAACACTCTTGATTACAAAGTCTACAAAAAGAGTTCCACAGAGGGGGAGATAATCACCTGATCCACATCCTGTGACTGCTTATCCTTCTTCTTGTCTGATTTCTCTCTAGTGTCTTTAGACATTTCTTTCACATTTGGCTGTACCTACAATGTTGATTTTATTTTCTACACCTGATATTACATGCATATAATCATATCTCTGAATCAGGACTTTATCATATATCCCTTTAGTTTGCACAAAGTAAATATTGATTTATGATACATCTCTATAAATAAATGCATGTACTGAACACATTCAAGTATGTTATTACATGTATTTCCCCCCAAAGATATAGTGCAACATTCATTTGCACTTCCATACCTAAGCCACGTTTGGTTGACAGATCTGTGCCCTGTTCAGAATGTTGCTGTTTTATTATTGTGTTGCATTACCTGTGCCACATTCTGTTGATAGATCTGTGCCCTGCTCAGAATGTTGCTGTTTTATTATTGTGTTGCATTACCTGTGCCACATTCTGTGTGCTGCTATTGGGTGTGTTGCTGCTGACTAAGGTTCCCGAGCTTGATGTGGACTGACTACTCGTACTGTGGGTGTCAAATGGTTTGTTGGCAACTGGCTGGCTGATGTAGTAAGCTCGATGGGCATGGATGGGGGTGCTGGGAACAGGGGGCATACTGGGAATAGTGGAGGGTAGTGAGGGGTACCGGACCTGGACTATCTTCTGGCATGCTTTATAACAAAGAGAAAACAGAATTACTGCATTAATGATTGTGATTTCCAAAACACTTATTCTCATAAGAAATTTTTACCAATATTTAAATGATCTTTATCAGCTGGAAAAGTTTCTCCATAAATTGCACTGAAAAATTTCCTTTACTAAAATATGGGTAATCAAAGATTACAGAGCTCACCTTAATGAATGTTGTCTTTAAGCAAGACATTCTTATCAAACAAATGTTCTGGTAGTGTGCATCCATAGATGCAAACATTTATGCAAGTTTGGTCTTGGTAGAATTTCTGTTCAGTCATCTGGAAAATGTAAGATTCAGTCTGAAGCAAGTCTGGTAGTGTACATCCTTAAATGCATCATACATTGGAAAAAGTCTGGTACCTTTCATCCCTACATGAATCATTCATGCAAGTTTGGTCTAGGTACATGCTCCAAAAACTTAAAGTTGTTCACTCATCCAGAAATTGTAAGTCAGATCCAGCATCCAAAGCATGCCTGGTAGTGTGCATCCCTATATATGCATCAAACATGCAAGTTCGGTGACCAGAGGGCTTAAAGCTACTTTAGGATGAACCTGCTTCAAAAACTTTAACCTGTTCACTCATCCATAAAATGTAGGTCAAATCCAGCATCTGCAGCAAGTCTGGTAGTTTTCATCCCTACATGCATCATCCCTCTTTAACTTCCAACACCAAGGGTATTACAAAAACTCCCCCAATGTCATTGAAGTGAGCTAAAAATTATTTAAATGATTCTTATAGTTGGTGTGATGCTGTTACATGTACTATTAACTGTCATTCTAGTTAAGGGGGTTCAAACCCATAACTTTATGCAGAGTACACCCTACTACTGCAGAAGTGCCTCTTCACAGCTAGTTATTAATAAATATTACTACCCATGTGCTCTGCTTGTCACTTATTGTTCTACCTGATAAAGCTAGCTTATAGGTTAATCTTTGTCTGTTCCTAAACATCAAATTTATTTATTTTACATGTATCTGCACTCTCTATACATGACAACAAAACACTAGAGGTCAGACAAGAATGATTTTAAATCATCAATATTCATCTTTAATGTCTTCTCTGCAGTTTAGCTCTTTTTTGAATATGTCACTGAAAAGGCTGTAGACTTCAGCATCAGACACTTGATGCACTGACTAGCACACCAAACTGTAGATATTTGTAAAATTTCGCTGAGAGGGGTCTTTTCATAAACACTCTGTGATGCAGATAAATAGCAGAAAAATTACATCATTCCAAAATCTAGGCCTATTTACTATCAGATTCAGTTCAAATGATTTTAGGAGTAAAAAATTAGCTATGATATGATCAACAGCAAGATGATAAGGCTGTGCCTCTACTCTGCCTGATCTCCATGAATCATCAGCATTAAAACCAGAACTCTCCCACCAGAAAACAGATAGAAAACAAACTGTAGGCAATCATAATTACTGCAGAAATGGAAACTCCATGTTTTACCTATCAGGGTGATTTTATGCATGTGTTTGAAGACTGGGGGGCAGCAAATATCTGTGTTAATTTTTTCTAGATAGATCAAAGCAAATATTAGCATTCATCAGTGTTTCGCACATTCTGCAATGTACTAAATCAAATGATATTAAGCTTATAGATATTATATAAATCTCTAGCCTGGTCATTTTGCAACTGCTACAGAACATATGCTTTTTTCCCCCCAATATCAAGCAGAAAATTTGATATACATTTCCTCTGACAAGAAGCCTCTTCAATGTGAGCTCTACCAATAGAACATATGTGTCACAGCAGGGCATCCAATCAAATTAGCTCTTATATTTTTGTTTGAACAAGTGCTGGCTGAGGGTCTCACAAAAAGTGTCTTTGTATGGGAAACAGCTGACAGCTTAAAACATTACAGGGACAAAGACCTTATCTCAAGTTAAATCTTCTAAAAGCTAATATTTTAATCTATCCGCAGGAAACAGCATGTCTAGGCCTTACTGTCTCTTAAAGTAAACTAAGTCCCATGCCCTCCTAAGATACACCAGTGTTTCATTTAATGTGTATAAAAAAGCAAGGCAGAAATTAAAGACATTAAAAATATTTTCTCTACATCTTCACACAAATTGCTTTTTAATAGCTTGATTAAGTGTTCCTAAATAAAGAGATAAAAAGTATCTAAAATATATAACCTGATTTTTTTAAGAGAGTATTTTCTCACTGATTCTTGGTTTTCATCTGAGAAGTAAATGTCACCATCCCTACAGAGGGTTTTTTAATTCAAGTAGATCTTGTATATGTGAAAAAAAAAACATGTGTAATTATGTTACTGGGTAAGTTAAAATTACCCAATAAACACTTAACAACTACCATTATTTTTTTTTCATGGGACACTTACCATCTTGGAAAACCCTTTCCACGTTGAGTCCGTAAGTGGCACACGTCTCGTAGTAGGAACAGCGCTTAAGGTCTGTGGCACACTTTCTGGCGCGGGTATCATCAATCACACGGGGGTTACTCTCACTTATTGAATCTGTAAAGTACATAAAATATTGTTTTCAATTTTACTTCTTTGTTTGTAGACAATCTCTATCTGTCAACCACTATAATTCTGATTTGATCGTTTTGACAATGACAAAATCAGCATGTGTGCATCTCTAAGTCCTTCCGTAATGGGCGAATTTTGATTAACAATGTCAATGGTTTTCAAAGGTGAAAATTTTCAATGTTACCCTCAATTACTTGCTGTATATATATTATACTGAATGTTTTTATACAAAAACATGTAACACTGAACTGTGCGTGCATGAATTTTGCGCAGTCAATATTTTTTTGGAATATCACCCGTCGTCAATCAATGTTGACTGTTGCTATGCTGGAGGGCATGGTTTCATCATTCAGAGGGTAACAGTGTTTTTTAACAAATGTTTCTAGACATATCAGATTCAATTTAATTTACATGAAAGTATAATATTCCATAATGGTGCACTTTCTGTGAATAACTATTGCTCATTGAGTGGCCTTACAGTGATTCTTAAAACATAAACCACAATGAACCATTAAGCCACACAATTTCATTATTTTGCTTACACTGACAAATGTCATCTTTTGGTTAAAAATATTTGCAAATAAAACAACACAAAGAAGGCAATGTGACTGGTGTCCTAAATGATACACACAAGAGAGAGTCTTTGGCCTAGAGGTGTTTATGACACATCTCTATAGACCCATGCTTCTTGTGCTCCTGTATCTCTATGATCACATAGTAAGAATCTGTTAGGCTGCTACAAGCTTCCATTATCACTGAATGAGTCTGAATGATTCAATAAACCAGAATAAGAGCAAGGTGAGAAGAAAAACACATCTGTTTTAGTTATACAAACATCAGATACAGAGCCTATATATCTGTACAATGCTAACTCTATGTACACAGAGATCCCCCCTAAAAAAAATTTCACAAAGAAATCTGTGTTTCAGATAGGGAAATCATTAAATCACAGACAGTGTTAACAGATGGCTTCTCCCGGAGCCTGGCTTCCGTAAGACAAATCATCCCCTCCATCCGAACCAGATCAACCGTGACGCAGGAACTCCTGCCCACAATTAGAGAGAACTGATCACATATGGCAGGAACGAACACCATTATTGACTTCCTAATCAGCTTAAACTAATCATCTTAATTGATATAATAATGAACAGAGTCACACCTGATATAAAAATGTCTACTGCATCATTTAACAATATAAAATTTCTACTGCATCATTTAACAATATAAAATACATTTATTTCAATAAAACTTCTTTACACAATTCCCTTATAGTTTCTTGAAATTTTGATTCATATAAGAGGTTTAAGTTTATCAGAAAGTTAAATTTTCTTCATTATGAAGAGAAATTTTTGATAACTGAAAAATAAAATTAAGTACTGTAAGGTTCAAAAAAAGGATTAAAAAAAAATACTACTGTACAGAAAGTTTCTACTAAAATGTCCTCATTTGTCCTATCAAATACACAGTACTAAAAGTAGCATCAAAGTTCTATCAAATTGGAAAATAAGATATAAAAAGCTTGAAATCACCTACCATTGCAAGAAGTAGTTGTGGTCTGTTCAAAAAACTGAGTGACAGAAGAGTACTCATAGTAATGAAAACTCCTATGCATGGCGACAGATGATCCAACAGCTGAGACTGCCACTGTATCACCGAGATACACAGCCAATACACAGAATTACCAATACACAACCGACTCCCAGTTCTACCCAGTCCCGATGAAAACAAACAAGCTACAGCCAGCACTGTGTCGCCGAGATAAATTCCCAACCACAACAGAAAATCCTGGCTCAACTTCACAGAGATCTTCAAAATTTGAGGCTGTTAATTTGAATATTTCAATGAGATAACATGTCAGCATTGACTGTTAAGACGCTCAGATGACGGTGCTGCAGCTGCTGATCAGCCCTGCGTGGCTGGCCCTAGGGTCGACGCAATTATCAGACAGCCCCGATAGTGGCAGGGCTATATCATGAGAAAATTTCTCTGTGCTACTGGGTTGCTAATTCTGTCTTGATGTGAGATGATTAACTCTTAAAGGTGATTCTTTAATGAGGAAAATGCTCAAGCACCTTGCAGCTTATGACTTTATGATGATGGATGATAGTTCTCTTTTCCTTTTTTATTTTATACAGAGAGGAATAGAATGAGATAGGTTCTTGCAGTGCATCAACATTATATCAAGTGAAAGTTATTTATATTCTTTTCACCTTTTTATTATTGAAGTACTTGAACTAATAAGACATTTATGCAGTTTTTGAGGCAAAATCATTTCCCAAACTTACATCAAAGCAAAAAGGAACAATGGGAAAATAATAGATATCAGTGATAAAATCCAAGAATACGGTAAGATTATGAACATATAATTCAAAACTACTCCTGTATCATTTAAGAGATAGAAAACTACATTCCTGAACTTACAAATAACTGTAACAACTTCTGTCAAATTAATCTGTCCTACATTCAGAAATTCCCCTTCAAAACTAAGAATTTTTGGCATGTTTGATTTTAACACATTCTTGCATTTTCATTAACTAAAATTTATCTATAATAGTCAAGGACGGTGTCTTTCACTCTAATTTTTAAAGTTACCCTATGCCCTTTTAATTTGGGAAAAATATTGACATTTTGGAATTTTGGGAAAAATTTGCAAAGCTAGCTACTTTCTTGAATAATTTGGAAATTTTTTGGCATAACAGAAACTGTGTCAGTATTTGATGTACATGCAGCTGAATTGTCAATACTAATGCATCTGAAGTAAATCGTACTTCAAACTACTGTATACAGGGAAATTTTCGCTCCCGTTTTATTTTCGCCCCTTTCGCCCTACACACAAGTGGGCGAATTTAAAACAGGGCGAATTCAAAAATCACAGTATAATTTGTTAAACAGAATTATGACATGGGCGAATTTAAAACAGGGCAAAATTGTTTGCAAGTGTGAGAAGGCGAAAATAACCCTGTATACAGTATGTGGAAGGCTAAAATTTTTACAGGACTGAAGGTCTGGTAAAAATATATATATTTAACCAGACCAATCATTTTTCTTTTAATTCATGGGCAACAGTGGAGCTTAATTATGATGCAAGACATGAGAACAAAAACGAACAAGCTTACTATTCCCGTGTACAAAGTAGTATACCGGTTCAATGTCCACTTTTTCTTGCCAATTTAGCTCTTCCAAGCAGAAAAAAAAAACACAGTTTCAAAGATTTTTTTCAACTTTAAAACCACTGTAAATATGTAGGACTCCAAAGTGCGAAGAGACTCCAAAGTCCAATGGTCAAACTAAAGTACAATGGTCTGTGCCAAACCCCAATGGTTTTTCCACACCAAAGTCTGATGGTTCACATTTAGACGCAAAAGTCCAATGTTGTGACAGGCCAAAGTCCAATGGTCTAATATTAATGTGCCAAAGTGCAATGTAAGTAATGTCAACAGCAAAAGTCTGATGGTTTTAAATATAAACATATAAAAAATTGTAGATGGCATCTAATATTATAAGACACTGGCCCTAATCTCTAAAGTGGGTGTCAGCCTAACACTAACTAGTCAAATAATGTGCATCGTCTAACCCTAAACACTCGCATGAGTGCAAGACTAACCTTGAAAAGTGTGTGAGAACTAATCCATAACTCTCGAGTGAGTGTGAGACTAACACTAATAAGTCAAATGTGCAAGATGTAACTTTTATCTCTGGGACAAGTGCAAGATCTAACCTTAATCTCTTGGGTGGATGCAATACTACCCGAGATCTGTCAAATAGTAAGTTTTAACCCTAATATGTCGAGTGGTGTGTGAGCTATCCCAGATCAGTCAATTGTGTGATAGAACTAACCCTAATTTGCTGGATTTTGAAAGCTGGACAATGATGATAGAATTGACCTTAAAATATTGTGACATCATAAACGTTGTTTTTCCCTGCACCATCCAACATGTCAGACCATCTGACTCGTGAGACCATTGGACTTCGGAGTCTTACAAATATATACATATGTCCTGAAATAAGTTATTATGCTTACTCTTAAGTCAACTGGATAATGATGTCATTCCAACTAAATCTACATATGAGCTACCTCTCTGTCTTACCTTCACCAGAACAGAGGAAATGGAAGAAATATGACCAATCATGCCTTTGCTGTTCTTGAGAAGATTTTTATAGATATTTTATAGATATTTCCAATGTTTTCTTGTATAAAACTTTAATTGCCCATTGTGACCCCACTCTCCTGCTAGGGGGTCATGATTAGAACAAATTTTAATCTACACTATGTCAGGAAGCTTTCACACAAGTTTCATCTTTTCTGGCCTAGTGGTTCTTGTGAAGAAGTTTTTTAAATGACCCCAACCAATTCTTACTTTTTCATAATTATCTTCCCTTCATTTGAACAAACTTGAATCCCCTTTATATAAGGATCCTCTGTCACAAGTTTGCTTGAAATTGGCCCAGTGGTTCTACAGATGAAATTGTAAATACATGATGACAACAACAATGATGACAACAATGACAGACAACAGACAAATTTTGATCAGAAAAGCTCAATTGAGTTTTCCACTCAGGGGAGCTAAAAACACTGAAGGAAAATGGGAAATCTGAGATGTATTGATAAAAGATATTATTAATAAAACTATAACCAAGAAAAGTAAAAACATAGGTAATCAAAGATTACGAAGCTCACCTCGACGAATGTTATCTACATGTAAGGCAAATTTCACATCATATTTTTTTTCTAGTTAGGGTACATCCCAGGATCAATATCCACGCAAGTTTGATTTAATTATAGACCTGCTCAAAAAACTTTTGACCTGTTAAGTAATCAAGAAAATTTTGGTCAGTTCCAACATCCAAACAAAGTCTGGAAGTTTTCATCCTTAGATGCACCATCTATGCAAGTTTAATCATAACAGGCCATAATATTATATAGCTACTCCAAAAAAATTACCCTGGTCACTCATCTGGAAAATGTACGTCAGATTCAGAATCCAAGGCAAGTCTGGAAGTGTCCATCCCTAGATACATCATCCATGCTAATTTGGTTAAAATATGGCTAAAATTCACTCATGTGGAAAATCTAGGTCAGATCCAGCATCCGAAGCAAGTGTGGTAGTGTCCATCCCTGGATGCATCATCCATGCAAGTTTGGTCCGGGTAGGGCTTATAGTTACTTGGGAATGGACCTGCTCCTTAAATTTAACCTGGTCATTCATCTGGAAAATCTAGGTCAGATCCAGCATCTGAAGCAAGTGTGGTAGTGTCCATCCCTAGATGCATCATCCATGCAAGTTTGGTCCAGGTAGGGCTTATAGTTACTTGGGAATGGACCTGCTCCTAAAACTTTAACCTGGTCACTCATCCGGAAAATCTAGGTCAGATCCAGCATCCGAAGTAAGTGTGGCCATGTCCATCCCTAGATGCATCATCCATGCAAGTTTGGTCAAGGTAGAGCTTATAGTTTCTTGGGAATGGACCTGCTCCTAAAACTTTAACCTGGTCACTCATCCGGAAAATCTAGGTCAGATCCAGCATCCGAAGCAAGTGTGGTAGTGTCCATCCCTAGATGCATCATCCATGCAAGTTTGGTCCAGGTAGGGCTTATAGTTACTTGGGAATGGACCTGCTCCTAAAACTTTAACCTGGTCACTCATCCGGAAAATCTAGGTCAGATCCAGCATCCAAAGTAAGTGTGGCCATGTCCATCCCTAGATGCATCATCCATGCAAGTTTGGTCCAGGTAGGGCTTATAGTTACTTGGGAATGGACCTGCTCCTAAAACTTTAACCTGGTCACTCATCCGGAAAATCTAGGTCAGATCCAGCATCCGAAGTAAGTGTGGTAGTGTCCATCCCTAGATGCATCATCCATGCAAGTTTGATCCAGGTAGGGCTTATAGTTACTTGGGAATGGACCTGCTCCTAAAACTTTAACCTGGTCACTCATCTGGAAAATCTAGGTCAGATCCAGCATCCGAAGCAAGTTTGGTAGTGTCCATCCCTAGATGCATCATCCATGCAAGTTTGGTCCAGGTAGGGCTTATAGTTACTTGGGAATGGGACTTGCTCCTAAAACTTTAACCTGGGACGCCGACGCTAACGCCGACGCCGACACCGACGCCGACGCCGACGCCGGGGGTATAGCATAAGCTCATCTCGACTTCGTCGAGGTGAGCTAAAAAGAAACGTAAGAAAGCAAAACCAACACTTTATCTACCACTAGACACTGGACAGAACTTCACAAAAGTACTGTAAACATCTGACAATTAAGCATATATTTCTGTAAGTGAAGGAAATTGTTTGGGTACTGGGGGAAGGGGAAGGGGAAATTAGATCTATTTTTTTTTTACATTGTACTTAATGTACCTTGAGTCCCGACAAGAATGAGTGGGATTTCTGCTGAGTTCCTGTAATGGCACATCTTGGCATAGTAACTGTACACAGTCTGGAAACTCATCTCATTCTCCAGACTAAAGACAAAGATCACGGCATCCACCCACTGCGTAAACTGAAAAAGTCAAAATATTGCATTAACATTAAAGATAAAGCAGATTTTGTGAGCTTCATCACTTATAGAAGAATTTTTTAAGCTTAACATTGATTCATACCTATCTATCTACATACACGTATAACAGACATCCAACCATATATCCCTCATTTATTAGTATCATGCTTATTTTGCTAATGATGTGCTATTAGGAAGTTATAGTGGGTAAAAAATGGATGTTTTAGAGGTAAATTTAAAGAACCTTTTACTTCAATTCATAGTCTTCAGTCTCAAGTTGTTTTGATTCCAACAAATAGTTTTTGATTGGTTTGAAGTGAATTTTGCAAGTATTTCCCAATGGATGCCATGGATTCATTATTTAACCAGTTTAAACTTGTCATACTAGCCATTGAGGTGTAGAAAACATTGTTTTTTTTCTGATGAATGTACATCAGTTAAAGCATCATAATTATAATTTCCATATTGTAAAGATTTTTTCCCATATACTGTAAATCATTTTTTATTCGCGAGAACTTATTTACACGTAATTACACGAGACAGTGTGCTCGCGAAAATTTCATTCTCGTGTATATTAATATTCCTAAAGATTATATAGAGCAATAACCACAATTCGTGACTATTCTGTCTCGCTAATAAAGAGTCAATGATTATCTTGAAATAAGGTGGCGCGAAAATTAAGTGATCTACAGTAATTATGCCACACATTTAAATTTGATTAATCAAAGAAGAAAATTCACCAAGTAGACCTCCAACATGACTGCCAAGTGGAATAACTTAGATAAAAAAATATGTCACCAGAAAATATCTATTCACAGTCTCTGGTCTAAATTCTTCTTGGGAACAAAAAATGAAAACCCTCTTCTTGTAAATTTTTGATCTTATGTTTGGCCTTTCTGGGAGCAAATTTCTTGCCCTCTCCTTAATAAGTCTTAGGTCAGATACTTTGGATCTTAAATATTGTTTGATGCTTTATTTGACTTTATTTAATACTTAATGCATTCTGAATCAGTGTTTACATGTCATATATACTGTGGAATTTTTTTGTCGTAGTCTGTTCCTCAGCTTCTGAAAATCAGCAGTTAAGTATATCTGAAAATGCTCACAAAAATGTTACACTTAATTAAAAGAGATGCAGGTATTACCAAATCCAGTAATAATTGAACCCAGTGAAATATAAGTAAGAGGTCATATTTTGGTGTCAATCACCATTGATATGTCGTAGTATAATTTTGAGATAAAGAAATAATGATACTCCTCAGAGACACTTGATCAGTACCATCTCCTCCTACCAAACTGTTATGACCAAAGCTTTAATCATGTCCCATCCCAGGGGCAGACTGGGTTACATCTAGTGAATACTTCAGCTAGCTTAGAGTATAATTAAAATGTAATAATTTTGAGAAATGCATTTTATAAAGTAATACAGCTCTATTTTTTGATACAAATATACATAAATTAACATGTCATGATAAGATTACTCATGCAATCATTACTCACACCTTGATTTTTTTTACATTAACACAAAAATTACAAAACAACAACATTCTATGTAAAAATCAATAAAACTAATCTCTCTAGGATGTCTTCTTAATCTATATTTTTTTAAAACAAGAATGTAAACAAGATTTCTAAACAAAAATTTGGCAATTTTCAAACTACTGAAAGAAAAAAATGCCCATTATAATAAATTCATGGGTAAAAAATTTGTATATTAACCACAAGTAAACAAGCCACAGATCTGCCTGTAGTAGACATACACTATACATCATTACAATAATCCTGAAAAAAGCTTGATTCATGCCCCATCATGTGTTTTTTTTTTGTCTGAAAACTTGATTTAACAAAATTTAAGACTTCACAGGTGGAATCTGTGCATGCTTGCAGCTTCTTGTTCTAAGTTAGACAACTCCTTCAGCACTGAATTTACATCATCTGCTGATTTTTTTCTTAAATTAAAGCCTATCTTAACAGGCTTATTGTTAAATATTGAATATCAATAAACATTTAGTTTACAAGTATTTTTCCCCCTACGAAGTATATTCATGGCATAGGATTTTAGGCCTAGCAAAAAGCTAAAGGTACTGTGAGCACTGAGCTCACAAAAGGATACCCCACACCTCCCTTTTGAGTATAATAGGAAAGTCCATATTTTGCTATGGGAAAACCCAAATATTTGTCTGATCAAAACATAAAATAGGAGGTGCACAATGGCACTATATAAATTAATAAAGATTATGAGAAAGTCTCATTAAATTTTATTCAGTGATACATGGGGAGTTGCAGATAATATATGGGTACCCCAAATGTTCTAGAAAGAATGGCAGTGTCTCTCTGACTGAGAGAAAAAACAGGAGATGCACAATGGTACTATGTTGCAAAGATTCTGTGAAAGTCTCATTAAATTTCATTCAGTGGTATAGATGTTGAAGATAAGAGATAGTTACCAACATACAGACTGATTCAACATATTTTTTCTTGGACCACTCAGTAAAATCATTGGAAATATTAAACTTTTTTAGTGTAGTTTATATAGGAAACAATTTTTAAAGGTATACCAAATAAATTTATTTAAGGACATATGTAATGCAGTTTAAACTTTATTGTCTTTTTCCCTGCAGTTGAAGAGTTCAAATACTTAAAGGAACTGTGTGCTACACCTTAATGTCTATATATGCTGTTGTACACTTCTTCTAAAACAAGTTTGGATAAACAAAACATCTAGAATATATGTTCAATAATTTTTGTATATTTTTCTTTGAATTATACAAGAATTTTCATCAATTGATATCTTTTCAAAACCCCTGGTAATGCATGCTGATTTTTTGTCTATGAACATCTGATGGCACTATACTCTTAAATTCAGAATATCTTGAAAAATTATCAGTAGGTAAGGTATGATGCGTATGTCCTTAATCATTTTTTAAAACAATTTTGAAGAGAAAAAGTTAAGTTAATTCAGAGAAACAATAAACTTTCACAGTTTATTTTTTAATAAAGAATATTAATGTTAACAGTTGAACATGTGAATAGGACAATTTGAACTGAGTTGTAGCTTGGTTGTAAAATGTTATGTCACTCTGCATATGAAGAACACCCCATTTTGAATTCATGTTTTCAATGAAAGAAATTTTTTAAACTCCAATTATTCGTGTTGCAACAATCCTTTAGCAGGGACTGGTCTATTCCTATTTTGGGGAAGGAGCAGTCCTCGTGTGGCAAAATTAAAGCAATATTCTACGGAAGAAGTAGATCATCACATTTTTATATAGGGAAAATTCAACAGAGGTGTAATAAAATATTTTTATCAAACATGTCATTCCTAGAAAGCTGGCTGAATCTCGGGAGGGATGGTTTAGAATGTCACATGTTGCCTCTTTCACTTCTTGCATGTATGTCATTGATTTATAAAACTGCATTTTCAAGAAATCCTTTGGGCAGTGACATAAAGTGAAATGCAAAGTGCCCATTAGTCAGTTATATTTTCTATTTATATCTGTTTTTTTTAAGCACTCGCAAAAGGAACTTAATTTTTTTAATATCCGTTTTTTTTTAATCACTATAGCAAAAGGAACTTAATTTACAGTTCAGGGATTAATTGATGAAAAATACAGAGATGTTGAAAAAATTCCTATACCCAGTAAATCAATCCTGTAAGTGCATTTAAAAATGCCAATCTGTGAAAAGAGCTAGGAATTTCCCTGTTCTATAGAGAATATTCAAACAATTTCCCCTGAACCTAGCAGTTATACTACAGATCTGCAGAGAATGACCACACACCTGTAACTCTGGGGATCCCCCTTCATCTCGAATCAGAAGCAAATAACTCTGACCATCAATGATCACCTCCTTCTTGAATCTTCCACCTGAAAATTAAATTATTTGCAAATATAATTATAATTAAATTAATCTAACTCTTGACTCTGAGTCTCAAAATATTTTCCTTCCATAATACATGTGTAATAGCATTATTAAAATTTTATGCATCTTTTTTTTTTTAGTGATTTTTGTGTTTACTGCAGATGGTAAACTATAAAAATAAAAGAAATTAATTTGAGAATGCATCTTATCTTTATTTTACTTTCCCCCCTAAAAGTTTCTTATGATAAGATGATTAAACTTTTGGCCAGAGTAAACAACAGAATGGAGTGGCCTTGCCATGTGATAGCCTGTGTAAACAGTAGCTACAGAGGCTGACGATTGCCTGTGTTTGCTGACATTTGGGGGGTAACTTAACTCCAATAAAACAAGCCTCCTTCACGACCCTCTTCTGAGGCCAGGCAGGGGGAGATAACCTCTGACTCTTCTGGATTTATGAAGCTGACTTCAAAGTTTCCTATCAGCACTCTCTGACTCAAAAATTTGTTTGTTTAATCACTGGAATGTAAAAATGAGGAAGATACCTGCTTCCATGGTTTGAGGTTTTTTCTCCCCTGCAACTGATGTAAAATCTTAGGTCTACTGAAAATATTTAATTAGCAATTTTTTTTAACACTTGCTCCAAACTAACATCTTTTTCTGATGTATTTGAAATACACTGCTTACTTGAAATAAAAATATATTTATTCCAATAAATATTTTTGCCTGATAATTTCATGTTGTTCTTATGACTGATAACCCTTTGATAAGTTGCAAAGACAATTTTATCCGGTTATTTTTTTTCTTCACTAGATTTCTTATATATGTTCTATTTCATTGAAATGTTAGCAATGGAGTAGATCTCTGTTGTTTCTTGCCAAATGAAATAAGATACTTAACCCTCAGAGCAGAATAAATTGATGTGAAGAGCGCATCCTTCACAGAAGGCATCCCAGATTGTGAATTTAATGAATCTTTTGACTTTCTTGCTTGCATTTTTACTGACATTAGATACCAAAAAACATTTAGGTCATATCTCAGAGAGGTTTTTATACAGTCAAGATTTATTTCTTTTTGCAGATAGGAAATCAAAACATTCCATTCTTCAAAATGCTATGTCCCCTAGTGGAACTTGAAAAAAAGATTCCAATGTGCATCAGGTTTAGCACGCATTTATGTAGCAAATACTGGAGCAATTTTCAATGGAACAAAATTTTGACCACCTTGTTAAAGCCTGAAAATACACCAGGGATCAAACATAAATTCATAATTTTTTAAAAAATACTTTATAAATAAACGTCAAATTCTCAGAGAATCTGTGCCTTTGATATCTATTACATTCATGCTATATGGTAATGGTTTTGCCATTTTCAAAGGTTGGGGGCAATCTCTAAACAAACAGTTATTGTTGTACTCATTACTAAAGGACATTCTGGCATAAGAGAGCAGGCATGGATCAAGGATTATGTGTTAGAGGGGTGCTATTAAATAGCGACAGGTCTAAGTACCATCAAGGCCCCCAGCATGTCTGGTAGGGAGTGGATGGGTGGGTGAGGGGGGCTTACCCTGTAAGCTCCCGAGAATAAGCAATAAGTGAACATAATTTTGATAAATGAAATTTTACCTTTATTACATCAATGCATGACAGTTTAGAAAAACTATGAAATATTTTTTTATGTATTAGAGGGGTGTACATGGAAAGAAAGCTTCTATTCTCTTGAAAGGAGATGATAATTTGGCATTTTCTTTTTCCAATAAAAGCTCTGTAACATTAGCAAACACGAATTCTCCCAATCAGTCTGTCTGTTCCCTGTACAGTATTTCTGGTTCCATTGTTTCCATCAATGTATATGACAACTCACACTGTGTTATCTACTGAGATTATGCCATATCTGACCACTTTATGCTCAATTTCTGTGTTCAAATACATCTTTATGGATATTTCCCAGTATAATCTGACAATTTTCCCAATCAGACTTTAGTCATCCTGATGACAAAGCAGACCTACCTTTAATTTGATTTATACTTTTATATTTTTCTTATTTACCCTATGGCCCTATGCTGTCTAGACACTGCAATCTTCAGTGTTGGACCAGGAAGATATTACACAGACTCTATCTTTGAATCTATAATTCTTAATAAATCAGAGATTCTGGTACAGGCTTCATATAGAATATCTATAATAATCCTAAAGTTGGTAAATATAAATGTTGCTCTAGTGACAAGTCAATATGCAGTCAATGTAATCTGGACCAAAACCCCAAGACCTGGAGATAAAACATGGCTCTAAGGAAAAAAACCTGCAAAAGAAATCTTTGTAGTAAAAAAAAACTTCTGACTGAAAGCAGAAAAGGACCATCAATAATGCTTCAGCAACAGCAGGGCCAATTTCTGCAAGACTGACAGGGAACTAATTAAGGTAGCCAATCAAACCTATAACCATGATAACCGATTCAATCCAAACCAATATCTGTCTGGTTCAATCAGTATCAAACCCTGCTGAATCTACCCAACCAGACTTGCTTTTCAGGTTTTTATTTCACGTCACTTTCTCCAAATAAATTAAACTTCTCTTAGATATAAACACATCATAAAGACTTTGTTTTCTATTTTCCCTTAAAAAAAAGGTTTTTTTACAAAGCTGCTTTAATAAACTGCCATTTTCCTGTCTCTTTTATGGCAACATTTGTTCTTTTTCAATTTCCTGTTGCAGTCATTTTTGGATCAAATTTGATAAAGGCAATCGATGTTTTCAAAGCATTTGGGTGCATTAATAATTACAGCAAAATTACAACTGTCATTTCTCATGACATAACAGAACAATGTCTGCTCCTACTTTCTCTGGTTCAGTTAATCTTGGTTATCTTAAAATCTTCCCTTCAGTTTAAATATTCTGCCACTAAGAGATGGTACAACACTGGTACAAATTATCACAATATTCTTTACTAGGGTTAGTGTAGTACATTCACTGGCTTTCACAGCACTTAAAACCCATGATTGAAGTTATTTTCTCTTTCTAAAACTAGTACAATGTTCAGGACATTTAAGAAGGCTATGTCCTTGTTTTATTTGGTTAAAGGGTTGATGCCCTGCCATTTGGTGACAAAGTCTAGCCAATGCATATGGCTGCTATGTAAATGGTTCAATTAACCAGTATCTGAGATATAACCTACCCTCTGGTGATTCCTCCTGCATGTAAGAACCAGTCAAGTACCGGTGAACCAGAGCCGACTTCCCACTGTGAACACTTCCCAGAATTCCCTACAAAAGTTTTGAATACAATGTCATTTTCATTAAAAATCTTTATTTGCAAAATAATGCAAAGTCTAATCCTAAGTATTGTATGGTACAAGATTTAATATAGAGTTTGTAAATATATTACTTTTACATATAGAAGATTTTTGATGTAAGTAAAATTCAATGCCTTTAACAAGATTCATGACTTGAATAGGAATTTATAACATTTTACAGATGTCACTTATATGGGACTATACAACCAGAGTACTAAAATTTCACAGTTATAGCCACAAAATTAGTTTAAACCCACCAATTTGAGATCTGGGACTGAACGACTGAGTGTCCATTCTTGACTGTTGACAAAGGAATCTGAAAACAATCAAAAATATTGCATTATATTTCCATATCATCAATACAGATATCAGTTCAATCAATTAACGATTTCCTAATTTGGTACACCATCCTCAAACTCCAACCTCATCTTTATATCCTTATAAAATGCAATGAAATCAATATCATTCTGTCAATGAAGATGATCAGATGGATTATTCTTTTTGGGGAGGAAGGGATGGGTGTATTATTAAACTGTTTGGTTGTTCTTATGAAAATTATCAATAATTTTTCCTTGTGAAAGTTTGACATTGGATTTTTATAAGGAATCTGAATTATTTACATTGACTGCCATGATTTGTTTTCTTATTTTCATATTAATGGCAGTTGTGGATCTGTCCTCTTTTGACAGACAGCAAAGATCTTGTTATCTGGCCATTACACTCATGTCAGGACATAATCACATTATAATACCTGGTCATTACACTGCCTAATATTATAGATAAAGTTACTCTACCAGATCAATAATTGATCTGCATAAACCTGGTCAAAGTTCTGAAAATGGTCAATGGACTGCTTAAATAATCTGTTCATTAATGCTGTAATGTGACCTAATCTCCAAATTATGCCATCAGAATACTTAAATCATGAAAACAATGAACCATAGTAATATTTATCCCATTCAAGTGAAAAATTATACATATTAAGCCAGGCTCTAGATAAAACTGTGGGGGGGGGGGGGGGGGAGGGAGGGGGGTTGTTGAAGGAGAGGGGGAGGGACTGTGAAGATCATTCCTATTCTATTTATTTCTATCTAACTCTATATTTTTACTCCTTAGTGCATCAGTCCTACTGAGCAACATGCATTATCTTTCTTATTTACTTCCTTCACACAGTGACACAGGAGACAGAAACAGGATTCTGGAGCATGTAAAATCATATCAATGAATGAAGCTGTGTAGTGCAGCACATAAACTTCAGATCTGATAGACATTATTCTGTGGGTGTATCGTCTACAAATCAAACTAAAATATCCTCCAATATCAGAAATAAACCCACATGCAGAGTCACATTGATTATAACTTACATGACGATGGTGCTACTGGTGCTACCGGTTCACATGAACGTCGTTTAGGTATTACTGATGTGTCGGTTTTTGTCCTTCTATAGGGTAGTGACAGGCGTTTGAGTGTGTTAATCATCACACTCAGATATAAATAAGTCCCTTATAAATAGGGGCCATAACTCCTCATAAACCACTAATCACTTTTCATAGATCCATCAATACATTTCAATGAATTCTGATTCACCTCTTTTGAAAAAAATCATAAATTCCAACCACTGGTGATTTCGAGAATAAACTTCCTTACTGCATCATATCAAGAAGGAAGACTTAATCCACAGATTTTCCGCAGAATATGGAATTTCCCATTCAAAGCTAATTAAAGTAACAGCCTAGAAAATTACTCGCCTGTCAGGTCTTTGGATTTTCTCTTTTACTATCAGAAAATCCTCAAAGCAAAGTAATCAAGACTTAATTAAATTCTGTACATCTCAGGACTTCCAATCACGGAACTAGGAAAAACAGAATAGAGAATCACAACTGACAATGTAAAACGCTAGCTACTTTAAGCACAACTCCAAATCTATATTCGTCAAAGTCAAAAATTATCCACTTTATATACAAAATTTGTCCAATTCATGCTAAGGTATATCAAAGAAGAAGATAAATTTCTTCAGATTTCACTAATCAACCACTGAATTTCAGGAGATGGATCAATAGGTGAACATACAGAGGCCCAAGTTCAGAGATGAAAATGATACGATACATTACTCTTGTCACAAGATAACGTTATTCCATAGCCAATCAATAATCCTGGGACCAGGTGGTGACTCACCACCAACCAGGTAAAAGGTGGAGACATCTCAAGGGATACACCATTCCACTTCCAAAAAAAAATCCCTGCAGTTGCCGATCTCAAATGAGAGGAAAATCAATTGAACCCTATAACTTGTTATAACACTGCATTAAAGATTCATTAAACAACATTCATTGTTCTTAAAGACCTGAAGCAACAAGGAATGCACAAAACTCCATACGGTGCCATCTTTTTGTAGTCATAAATCGGAGAACAGTCTACACTTCAAATCCATAACAGAAAAGATAAATCAAGCAAAAAATACCCACTATCTGATGACAAGCTATAGATCCAACTTAACACAGTCCTTCATCACTAGTCATTACTTCACACTTTTTTGGAAAATAAAACTCTCAAGTCAATCAATAACTTGGAGAGGGAACCCTGGCACAGTTAGAAATCCTCATCTTATTTTAAAACATTGACATTTCAACGGAACTTACTGAGAGAGAAGACTACAACCAATCGGTATCTTCCGTTCTTCCATTCACTTCTAAAAATCCCAATGGAAACTCCTACCCTATGGAGCAGTTTTATTTTTAATGTTCATTGATAAAGATAACAGCAGAAGCATTTCCAGTGTATGAATAGTATCAATTTTCTGTTTTTCTTTAATCCCTGTAATCTGTAATATGAACTACTGCTGACACTAGCTTGTTAAACCTAAGTCTATAGCACTGCATACCAGGTCTGGGTCAACTGCTGCAATTCCTTACAAACTTAAACCCCTCCAATCTCCTGTACTGAATTTCTAGCTTTGGGTCAAATCCTGCTGCTCCCCCAAGAAAATGCCTACTGTATGCACCCATGCAGGTTTTTCTATTCAATTTATTTTTTCACAATGTAATCAGTTTTGTTAACTCTATTGTTCAACATCAGAACCTTAAAACCACTAATTAGATTGTTACAGAAAATGCATCCAACTGCTTCTGTTTCCTTGATAGTTAGAAAAAAGATGTACACTTTAAGACAATTAAGATTCTGGAATAAAGTCAAATCTTAGTCTCACAAGAAATTGTCAGAATACGAAAAATTTTGTTAACTTGATTTTCTCATAAGCTTTAAATGAAGCACTTGTATGAAGGTAAATAATTTGTGCTATAAAATTTATGTTTTCTCCCTCTTATTTTTAGTCTTCATCTATTTCCCAAAATAATACAAATGACCCAATTTCAGACCTTGCTTAAACTTGGGATCAAATTATTCAAACTTGAAAAAACACAAATTTCTGGTTCAATTCCAAGAAATATATATTATCGGAAGATCTAAAACTAATCATGTTCATGTGCAATTAACATCCAATTCTCCATATCTGATTCATCATTTTTAACCACCTGGGAAATAAAACATTATTTTGTGATAATAAAACTTTAGTTTGTAGGCATAAAGGGGTGGAACCAGATAGATTTATTAGTTGAATTAGCTCTCTTTTCATGATTAACATTATATCAAGGTATGGCCAGGTATAAGAGAAGGGAACTGATCAATGCCTAATCCATTTACTGATTAACTAGTGGACCAATAGTACCATGACAGTTAATGAACATCAAAGATCAAAGCCCCTCCAGTCTGCTGGTGGTAGACGATAGGACTCATGACAGACAAACATCAAACAATCCAATTACCTCGGCATTGACACACTGATAGAACAGGATGCTAGGCTCCCGTCAGAAAGACCCATATATCTACTTTTCTGAACACTGAACAAACATAAAAGGGATGTTGCATGCATAGAGTTTCCTTTTGTGCAATTAAAATATGGCAATTAACTTCCATATTGCATTTTTTTTTATGCCGGAAAGGTCTTTGTGGAGGTGAATACCATGCTTGTAAAAATTGCATTATGGATCGAAGTACCCACTTGAAAAGTCAATGTATCAAATATTATTATAATAGTATAACTATTTCAAAAAAAAAAAAAAATGTACACAAACAGTATTTTCAATAAAAATTATACTGTTCATTACTAAATTATATTGTTCATGTACCACCGGTAAAATTATACTGTTCATGTACTAAAATCATATTATTCATGTACTAAAATTATATTGTTCATGTACTAAAATTATATATTGTTCATGTACTATCTCACAAGTAACACAACACAAAAAGGGAGATAAGTCATCCGAGTCTTGTTACAGGAGTATACAGTGGCGCCGCGTTTATTCGGACGCCATTTATCCGGACGCTTCACCATCCGGACGATATTTTTTGGGAACCGATTTTTTCCACGTTATTTTGTCTCATTAATCCGGAAATTCGCTTTCCGTATCCGGACGGTCAATTTCTACTACAAAACATAATAGTTCATTGAAAAATGACTCGTTTATCCGGACGGTAATTTTTCAAGAAACGACATTTTCACACTTATCTTGCATTCGTGTTAATTGTTGTAAAAACATTGGCCATGCAGTCAGTTTGTAGGTGGTTACCTGTGACCTACAAACAATAGCGTCTATAATTAGCGTGTGTTATCACGCGTTTATCTTTATTATGAAGCTCAAAGAATTTAGCTGACACTGTGCATTAATTAAATAATAATCCGTTCAAAATCATATTGCTAACCGTATATACATCGGTAAATTCAGGAGAATTTTGGAGAGTTGTAAATAAAATGAACAATAAATAATGAGCAATTTCGTATTTGCTCTTTATCATGTCGATTGCGTTAGGTTGAAATACGATGTTCCATTTCTAAAAAACGTAAATGTATTTGAAACGCTTTTTTCCCACAAGACAGTATAGAAAGGTACATAATTGAAGAAATATTTCTATTTAATGTACTACCGTTTACAAACGTCCATTACATGTAAAACTGGCGTTACGTACAGAAGTTGATTACGTTTTTCAAGGTATTTTTTAATGATCGAAATTCAAACTTAGCGTCTGTAGAAAAAAATAATATTGATAATCATGAAGATGGCTTGTGTTTACGAATGTTTTTAATACTTTGTTTGAGTTAGCTTGCAGTGTCCAGTTAATTTTATAGTAACCCTGTGTAATGAATATACGGGGAATATACAGGGTAAGTTTATATTTGAACATTTTCAATGATGATGCTGAACAGTTCTGTCATATCATATGAGCTTCAATAATTATAATATATGGCAAAATAAAACA